ACCGCAACGCAACGCACGAAGGGGCTATGATGCTGCCATGGGGTGCATGAGCTGGGCGTTTATTTTCTCCCCTCTAAATTTTTGGAATTTGGGGGGACTCGGCGGAACAGAATAACTCCTACTCATTGTAAAAAAAGACACAAAAAAAAGAAAACAAAAGGTCAAAAAAAGAAGGCTTCAGTCCGTTTTTGTCGTCTGGGCAAAGATGGTACTGGGGGCCAAGCAAATGTATATCAGATTAAAAACTCGATCAGTGGGACGAGCGATGTAGAATTACGGGCTGTTTAGAAAGGGTTGCTGGCGAGCGGGGGGGGGGGGGAGTTGGCATGAAGGCACGAAATCTCCAATTCAATAGAGAAGGGAAAGAAAGGCATGTAAGGAATTAGCAAATGGCATATTTTACGGCTTTAGAAAGGGCTTTGATGAAGGATGCTGTGATGAGATGTTTGTGCTGTGTTGCTTGAGTGACTGACATGAGGACTGAGTTGAGCAGTTGACTGGTAGAGTAAAGGTATTTTGACAGGCTTGAGAGGGTCTACTGGTTGTACATAGTGTCTGTAGGTGATGATTATTTCCAACAGAGTGCATGATTTACATATACATACGTCAAAACATGGACAAAGCGTACTCGTATGAGCTCGGCCAGAACAAAACACAGCACAAAACAAAAAAGGCTGCCAAAAAACGGGCTTTGCAAGGGGCTCGAAGCTCGGAAGCGGCGAAGCGGGTCGGCACCGGCGAGATGGGGGTCTAGAACCAAATACCTGGGAACCATCGTGCCGAATTATACCACTCAAGGTATGTAACAAAGAAAATAGGTAAACAGAGAAGAAGACAAAGAAGAAGAAGGACAAGTTGGATGACGATGATGCTTGAATCTGTCAGGCTGGGAATTAGAGTGGTTGCTTCATGGCTTTTAGCGCATGCCGCTGATTTAGGCAGAGTCGGGAGCTTAGTTTCGCCTCTTGTTGCAGGTACACAGACGAAAAGCAAGGAACATGCAAGGGGCGGACAACGATTGGCATCAAACCCCGTCATCATCATCATTCTCTGGGCTGCGCGCAAAGAGCGAACATGTGCTCCCCTCGAAATCTGGCGATGGGAGGGTTGGCGAGGTTCTGCCCAATGAAGCCCGTTGGTTTAATGCCCAAAACCACACTATGAGTGAGTATGTGGATGGATAGATTAGGATATGTATCAATGATGATGCGAGCAAGTGAATGACACTGGCCGCCATGTGGAAGCCCGAGGGAGCGAATTTCCAGGATTTTTTTTTGGCGGGCAGCAGCCTCATTGTGCTGGGCTTAGCGGGATGCAGCCGTGCCTGACCCCGACGCTAGGTTGAAACCATGGTTGTGCTCAATGCAAGAGAGGGTCATTGACGATAGAGTCGACTGAGCCTTTTTCTTCAAACAGTCAACAGCATCTTGATGGGAATGAGAGTTGGCAGTGCTCAAGAATGAGGGATCCAGAATCCAGAATCAAGGGTCCAAGCGGAGACAGGAGCTCGTGCCAACAACATCCATGAAATCGAGAGGCTGGTTGCCGTGCTAGCAACTCTCCGGCTTCAAGTTGCCAGTCTGCCGGTACGTGAAATTCGCTTCAACGTATAAGCCATGATGTGCGTGCGCAGCCAAGATCATCTCGGAACGGGGGCCCGGGGTTGGGGCTGACATGTGAGTCTGCGGATGCGTTCCGTTCCTGGACGTCTTATTTGTTGAATAGGGAGGGATAGAGACTATCACGTACTCGTACCTGTAATAGGGGGTTTACCCGGAGTGTGTGAGTCGTTGGGCAATGAATGGTTGGCTTCTATTTCATGAGGTGTGCTGCCAGGCACAATGCTATCGACCTTGGGCATTGCTGCCATCGTGAATGTTGTGTGAAATCGGACATTCGAGCTGTCATGTTCATGCTGGGCTCTAGCATGGAGCCACTGCATCTCTGGCTCTGCATCAGTTCATGGACCCAGAGCTCGTGTATGTCATGTGTGTGATGCGCATAGCATGGCCTAAACCATTTGGCCGGGAACTGGATTCCACGTTCCCTGAGCTGCTTACATGGCTACCCAGGCACTAAGCAATATGGCTGCCCGGAAAGCCCGAGTCAAGACGGGACGGGATAGGGATCAATAGCTCTGTTGCTTGGTCAATGGATTCCCAAAGGGGTCATTTGTGACGAGGCGAGAACCATCTCCATCTCCTACAGTAGAGAGAGATACGAGCATCTGCATGTACAACACAGTAGACGGTACATGTATGATGATGGCCTGGCATGAGCTGTAATGCGCAAAAGACGCAGGAGGCCCTGGCAGATGAGCACAGTAGGTACCGATTCGATTGATTAAGTGGCCATGTACGATACGGCATAGTCCGATCTAGCCTGACTCCAGAGACAGCGGGACGGGCTCGGATTGGAGCTAGCACGCATGTACGTGTTCGAGTAAGTAAGCATGAGACGCAGAAAGCAGAAGCAGAAGCGGTTCGCTGCCCAATCCCACCACCACACTACAACCACAGGCCAACTTGTTGGTGGTGATAAGCTGGCGGTGCGACGTCGAGGGCGGTCCCACGAACTAGCCAGCATTACCCGGGGCTAGATTTGTTGTTTGATTGCCAACTCATCTTGGATGATGCTGTGCTCGTACTATCTCTGCTCCATTTCCAGGTTGTAGACGCTGTAGTAGGCAATTAATCTACTCAAATTCGCAGGCTAGGGATGCCTGGCTGGAGCTCGCTCTCGGAACTATTACTCGTGTCCCCGGCCAGAAGCCAGTCAGGCAAAGCATGCGCGAACGCACACACGTACATGCTCGTGCCTGTATGTACACATCACATCACATCAATAGCAGCAGTTGCCATGGCAATCTGGAGCATCCCATGACTGGCTCTTTTCTTTTTTCTCTTGCCCTCTGCTCTGTCTCTCCGCCTGTAGGGCTTCGACCCGAAATGGACAAGCGAGCGGAGCTGGCCAGGCGTCGTCGAATTGGCGGTCACGAAGCTGGATGGATGCAAGTGGTCGATGGGGCAACCCAGGATGCGATGCGGTGGTGATGCCATGGTGAGCCCTTTTTTAGTGCCGTATCTGACTTGTAGAGCAGCTGCAGGTCTGAGATGTGAGAGATCCCCCTCAACCGGGTTGGGCACGAAGAAGTGAGGGCGATTGTATAGCGCACAGTACAAGTATATGATGCTCTGTGATACCTAGAGTCAACTGGAAGCGCGCGAGAAGATGGATGGAAGAAGAAAGATTGCGATCAAGGCCAGACGCCATCACAACGGCGCCCCACTGTGACATGGCCTGCCCCTCGTCATGCCACCGCCCAATTGCCCGTTTAGGGTCAACTAACCTGTACATGTACCCGGGTGCTACCAGTAGGGTGCCATCCAGAGCCCGTCAAGTCGCCCGTTTTTAGGGGCCTTTGGCAGCCCGAGGTACCACCTCGACCTCTTCCAGCGACAGGAAAAGGAGGGGTCCAGCGACAAGAGAGCCCAACTGGACCTTGAAGGCGGGTGACAGACAGCGAAAACCCCTACCTAAGTACCTAGCAAGGGTCTAGCAGTAGCTTAGCAGGGCCTAGCCAGCGCCGGTACCGCTAAAGTAGCTCGACGGGCCTCGGGCACGACCAGCGGCATGAAGCCTTAGTCGCTTCTTAGCAGCGTCTTGGGCTGCCAGGGCGCGGGCCACGGCTGTGTGTGGCTTTTTAGGGGATTTGGAGCTGATGGCATCAAATCCAATATGCAAATCAGCATCAGCTCAAGTATACTGGACGGACCAAATACTTGCAACCTGCACTGCCTCAACTGTTAATACTCGTACTATTAACACACGGCTGGGGAAGAATCCATCCATCCATCCATCCCTCCACTCGCTCGCTTCTGCCGACTCTCACCGTCCGTCGGGTCCAAACCAAACCCAGGTAGCAGGTACCAGCCGGGTACTGCCGCCTGCTGCGGCCAACCTGGTACGAGTACATTTTAAACCTGGTCACGACCCCAGAAACGACCCTTGTTCGTGCGCCTGTGCTGTGCTGTATCGCCTCCAGACAGACACATGTGCACAAGCCGACTGACTGATTTGATTTGATTTGATTTGCAACACCACAGAGATCATCGACTTTTCCAACCTCTTTTCTTCTCGCTCTCTCTCACCTTACATACGCCGCTCCACCTCGACCTGCCCTTGTCTCGCCTGTCAAATCCAGTCCACTCCCGTCTCGTCTTCGTCTTCGTCTCGCTGCCTCCTTTTCCCCCCTTCCCCGCCAGCCCATCGTGCATCTCCAGCCGAGCTTTTATTTGTGCCTCTTCGCCCCCATTTGCCTCGCCGCTCAAGCGGCTCTTCTCTCGACCTACCTAAAGACTATCCATCCATCCATCCATCCATCCCGCCTTGCCCCTCGCCTCGCCTCGCCTTCACCTACACTCACCTACTGCCAGACAGCTCTCCCTACTGGATACCCAAAGCTCGCCAACCACTAAGAGCCACTGCTTGCCCATTTCTGCCTGCTCGCCTCTCGACTCCCTTGTCTTTCAGCCTCCTCCGCGACCAGCATAACATAAGAGCCGGCCTTTTTTTTCTTGACTCAGACGGCACTTGAAGGCGTCTACCCCGACATCTAAGTGTGTTCCAGGGAGGCTCGCCTATTTTTGCCCAAGCTGAATTACGGTGAATCAGTATATCATAACGGCATCTATTTATATCCCCAGTGTCTGCTGCTCTCCATACCTACAACGGGCCCAGCACCCCTCCTTTCCTCAGCCTCACGACTGGCTACCATCCCACGATAATCTGACAATTCTCTCGTTTCTCACTGGCTAAAATAAAAAGAGCGAGGGAGAATAAAAGAGAGACGGCTCTTTACATCAACTGCGCTATCCCTGCTACTCCTGCCATCCCTGTTATCCCTACTCGTGGTAAACAGCAGGTACCCGGCGTTGCGCAGCTCCATAGCGCATATCGACAAGTAACATACACACAATCTGCAGCTCGGGTTGCCCAACATGCCTCCGCTAGATGACCGGCCATGCACTTCGCCGTCTCTTTTGCAACCTCACTCGCAACTGCAGCCGTCATCGCCCACTAAGCAGAGCTTTTTGCGCAAGCTGCTGGCCCGATCGGGGAGCTCCCGGAGCTCAAAGTCGTCAGCCTCGTCCGTTTCCGCCGACCAGCAAGGCTCCACGCCCATCTCTGGCTCCGGCCTCGTCAAGCGCCTGTCCAGGAGAGTCGTGCCCGGCCTGCCTCGATCACAGACATTCAAGCGCCAGCTGTCAGAGAGCAGAGAGCACCTTGCTCCTGTAGAACCTTCAGCCGAGGAGCGGAGAGCGGCCTCGGTCGATAGACGTACTCACTTTCCGCAAAAGCCCGGCCGGCGAAGCTCAAGAGCTCACGTCGACCCTCGTTCCAGTGCGCCCAGCTTCTTTGGCGAGCCGCTTCACGAGACCAACTCAAACTATGCCCAGTCGCTGCCAATCGACCTTGCCGAATTGGAGGCGGCTGTCTCAAATTATTCAGACAGGCCGCAGGACGCGGCCGCGAGCGACGTTGACGGCACCGAGGCTGACGATGCCGACGACGAGTATACCGCTCAGGACGGTGCATCAGTGGCCGACTCCCGCTCCGTGACGGCGTCACAATACGAAGCCATGATTCACGACGAGCTCGAAAGGGAATGGATTCTCAACTTGAGCATGCACTTTAGAGATCGGTCGAAGCGGGAAAAGTTTTTTGTTACGTACCGCGAGCAAGACTACATGTGGCGTCGCGTCACCATATCGCTCGACTATCGCGATGCGCCCGAAAACTCTCTCGAGTGGGAGCTTAGCCACACCAAATACCAGAGAGATAAGAGCGCCAAGATATATGAAGCCATCCGCGAGAGCCTGCCAGATATCCAGTTCTACGACACGGTGACTAACCTGAAGCTCGAGACGACGGATGGGAGGTTGCATGTCCACGTAGTAGAAGATGGCAATGTAAGTGACTGCCCATTCATGAATCGTAATCCCTCGTCACGAGACTAACAAGCCGCGCTTCAAAAAGGAAATCATCCACTATCCGTCCGTCAGCCAGATTCGGCACCTAGGGTGCAGGCGAGTCAAAGAACGAGACATTGTTTTCGACTCCCACATGTCTGGCTTTGTCTACAAGGTCAGCGTCAATGGCAACATGCTGATCAAGAAAGAGATTCCCAGCCCCGACACCGTCGAGGAGTTTCTCTACGAGGTCAATGCGCTCAACGGTCTGCGTTTCTCCAGGCACGTCATTGACTTTTACGGTGTTGTTGTGGATGACAATGACGAGCACGTCAAGGGACTCCTCATCAGCTTTGCCGGCCAAGGCGCCTTGATCGACATCATCTTCGAGAACTGCAAGGAAAACAACATTGGTATCCCCTGGGAGACTAGGGAGAGGTGGGCAAGGCAAATCGTCCAGGGACTGGCCGATGTCCACGAGTCGGGCTTTGTTCAGGGAGACTTTACTCTGTCCAACATTGTCATTGACGACGACGGCGATGCCAAAATCATCGACATCAACAGGCGCGGCTGCCCTGTCGGCTGGGAGCCTCCAGAGGCCACGGCGCTGATTGAGTCCAACCAACGTCTCTCCATGTACATTGGGGTCAAGTCGGACCTGTATCAGCTCGGCATGGTGCTCTGGGGACTTGCCATGCTTGAGGATGAGCCCGAGACCCAAGGCCGGCCGCTGATTCTTGGCCCCGAGATCAACGTGCCCGACTGGTATCGACAGATGACGGAGATTTGCCTCAGCGACGACCCGCGACTGAGACTGCAGGCGGCATCGCTACTTCGAATGTTCCCACACGCCCTCCCTGGTGACGGGCACAGCGATGCTTTGCACTCGGACCAGGAGCCTGTCCACATGGATAACGGCGCCGTGGCGCACGACTATTCCTCTGAAGGCTACGAAGTCGACTCCCACCTTGCAGCAAGGGCAGCGCGGCCTGTCAACGACTGGTCCTACTCAGGCTCGGCATATGCTGAGAGCGGGCTTATGCCCTATGATCAGAACTACTCCGCGCGAGGCCGGTCTCCCCCAAGCCCGATGCCCAGTGACGTGGACGTTAATGATCCAGCGTATAAGTCAGGCTGGGCAGCAAACAGGAATATTGCCCCATCATACAGTGATAGCGGAGAGAGTTATGTGTTGCCGGACGAATACGACATACAGCGACACCCTACCCCCCCGACCCCTTCAGCCGGGAAGTTTCTGAATATCAGCGACCGACGTTCGCGGCCAATTGAGCAGCTCAGCTCCTACGAAAGCACCGACTACTTTACGGCAGTAGATGACGAGGCTGATAGGACAGCGATTGGTCTCGTTCCAGGGGCCCCCGAGTCTAGTTGGGGAGGGTCAGCAGCCCACGTCGATGCAGAGGACGAACCTACACCAGTTCCTGCCGTTGTTGTTACCGAGTCACCCCTAGACTCAGTAGCTCAGCCGGGAAGCCCCAAATCCCAACACGAGAGATGCCAGGAGAAGGTTGACCGTGAAGGAGACAACAAACAAGAGTCAGCCGCTGATATGCGCTTCACCGCCCAAAGGACGCATAGCACCCGAAGTGTCGATGCTTCGACACCGAGGTCAAGGTCAAGTGGGAGACTCAAGCTTACCAAGAACGCTGCCAACATCAAGGTCAAGCGGCTCCGGAAAGCCACGAGAGTTGAAGATGGCTATGGTTCATCTTCTCCTCACCCAACGCCGCAGCATACAGAGGTACCTAACACGCCCATATCGGCAGAGCCCCCAACAGGCTCCAGACTGGGTGATGGGGTAGCTCATCGGGTTACAACGCCGGAAACGGAGTCGGAGCCTGATTATATCGCCTCGCGGTCACCAGGCTTCAAGTCTCCCGACCCCAGGCAAGGCTACAACGCCAGCGATGCGCAGAGGGCCGGACAACTGATCAACGGTGGCAACCAGACGGAAGCAGGACTTGGATATCCGCGACACGGGCCCATGCACGTCTCGCTGACGGGCATCGGAGCAGCTCATTTGGGGCTTGAGGGAGAGCTGTTGCAAGAGAAGGGACTTATCGATGACGAATTTCAACTAATGACGCGGCCCGAAGCAGCGGCGCCGCTTATGATTACGACAGATGCTCAGACATGAAAAACCACCAGACATACATACACACACAGATACACACGCACACACAAGCGCATACACATTACTCACAACATTTCGATTGTCATACAACCACAGCCTTTTGAATTTTCTCTCTTTTCCCATCCTGTTAATTGCGACTCGTTACCCATTTCCTTTTTGTACAAGTAGATATGGCTGCAGGCAACTGACCTGGCTTCTCTGTTTTTTTTTCTTGTTTCTGACGATTTTTGGATATGAGTATGGGATCATGACACTGAAATGACTACTATATGGCGGCGAGATATAAAAGAGCGCTCAGCCTGATGGATATGAGATATGACTAGGACTACCTTGGTTTTGGTACAGACAAAACAGACAGACAAGCACACAAGCAAGCAAGCAAGCATTAAGCAAGCATTTAGCAAGCATTAAGCAAGCGACAATTGAGTATTTTTTTTTTTTCAGCTGAATCTGTCGTATATGACCTTGATTTAAATAATTGGTAGATTGGTAAAGATTGTTGTTTCTTTGGAGTATCAAGTGTTGAGGCATCAAGAGCAAAGCTGAGCAGATACGTCACATCAAAGAAGAGTCATGGCCAGCAAAAGCTAATTTCCCAACACAGCAATATTCCAGAACGCACTTGGAATCCTACGGCACACCTGGTGGCTGCATGCCAAAAGCTCAGAGTTGCAACGTCTAATGTGGCGGTGCACACCTACAAGGGGTATTATATCAGTGGCGCAAGTGGCGCGAGCTTTTTCATTTTTTTTTCTTTGGGGAGAGGTACGTACCGGTCGCCTGTTGCATTACCCCGTTCTAATGCGGATGAAGCTCGGCAGCCGGGAAGGACGGGGCCATTTTCTGTTGGGGATTATGGGGAGGGGGGAGGGGAATGGATCTGATTAGTTCGGGGGTGTGTGTATGTACGAGAGTTACTGCAGAGAAAAGGGCAAAGCTGCACATGGGGGTTTTTTGATTTGATTTTTTGATGGGAGCCGAGGCATGTTTGATTGAAATGTGAATGTGAATGTGAATGTGAAATGTATTGAGATGGTTGGATGGATAGGCTATTCGGTAGATTTCGTCTGGGGAGATGGTGACGTTAGATGGACATGTGAGTTTTGAAGATGAACCGGTTACCTTATCTTGGTGGATTCAATGGACTAAGATTTGGTGAATTTACTGGATGCATGATGGTAACTCGTTGATTGTACACGTATTTGTATACGTATTACTACTACCGATATCTCTGTGCATTGCTGTTGCTGTTGTAGTTGGATGAATCTGATGCGAGTTGATTGGTCTCGATGCCAGCTGAAGATGCATGCAAGTCTCCAGGTTGATATCGTATCATATGCAAACGACTTGACTGAATTACGGTAATACATCACCAGCAGCATTCCTCTCTCTAATTACCGCTCTATCCTTTCATAATCATGCCATACATGCTCACGCAAAGTAAAACAGCCTCAAGCGGACGACAGGCTTGATCCGTCCTCCCGTTTCAGGCCCATCGAGAAAATTGCAAACAAGTTGCCATTTGCGGCGATATGCAAAATACCTTGTACTAAGAATGGTGGGGTCATTTCTTGGTTCTATCTGGGGCGGGAAGGTCACCTAGCACTGGTAGCGGTACAGTAGCACGCAGCCCCAAAAAAGTTGTTGGGGAAGATTTTTTTTTTACAAGAGACAAGTAAAGGAAAGAAAAAAAAAGGTTGAGCAAGGTCCCGTTTCGGCGAGCGGTGATTGGCTGCGGGGGATGGCGTGTCGCTCAACCCGGACAAGGGAAAGCCGCTACCAGGATTTTTTAGCCACTGACGGAGGGATTGGCGAGTTGTACCTGTACTAGGGGGATTTCAATATTTGAGCAAGTATACGTGGATGACATTACAGTTGTTGACGATGGATGCTGACGATGGATGAGAGAAAGATTGAGAGAGAAAAATCAATGTCAGGCGAGAATGAATTGCACATCTGCTGATTGAAGAACTTTGGGGCGAATGATTCAGATTCAGATTCGCCTTGCAATGTTTGTTGTGCAGCCTGTTGGGCGGCTTGCACAAGCAGCCATGGGCTGATGCGATGCGACTTTTCCCAACTGTTTCAACGACTCGCCTGCTGCAGTACTGTAGTCTGTACAGTTGCAGCGAGCGGTAATCGTGCAGCGCCTGGGTACCTGTACCTGTACCTGTACCTGTACCTAGACCTAGAACCTGGACCTGGAACCTGGACCTGGTCGCACTGCAGCCTGCAAGATGACCGTCCGCTTCTCTGTTCCTCAACCAAGCTGAGCAGAGATCCAACAAACCGCGCTCGGCAGTCTATGCACAGGCATACCGCAGTGCTGCTCCGATGAGTACAGCCACCGGTAGCTGGTACACCGGTCGGCCCGCCATTGGCCGCGGTGGCGGCGCGTACAGCCTACCGCTGGGGATTGGCCTTTGACTCTTCATTCCCTCTCTTTTTTTGTCTTTTCCCACCCACTCAACTTCTCCACCAGGGGCAAAAAAAGAAGCCAAATGGTCTCGTTTCTGCACGTCGTTTGTTAGTTTCTCTGCTCTTCTCCGCCTAGGATATCCGGGACTTTCAGGCTTGATCTGGGCTGATTCTGATTTGATCTCGGACGCCCCTCCATCCTTGTTGATCAAACGCCCCTCCTCGGAATCTGATATCAGAAGCGACAAGCTTCACTCATATCATCCATTTTTTGCTCCTCACACCCCCCTCCCCCTCCGCCCCTCTCGATAGCTCCCCTTGTCCTCCCTTCCTCCGAGACTCGACGCTTTTTAAAACAAAGCCTCTTCTCTCTTCTTCTGCTTCCCCGTCCTCCTCTCCTTGTGTCAACCTCCACTCTTCATCTTCACATTGGTATTCCTCTTCTTCAACACGGAAGGGAACTCCAAAAGGACGTCGTTCAACATGTCCGAACCCACAGCCTCGGCCGCAAAGGTCCAGGCGGCAGCTTTCCCAGATGGCACAACCGACTATGTGCCTCTGCGGTCCGGCGCCAAGTACGATCCCAAGAAGGTGCACATTTCCGACCTGCCCATGACCTGGGGCAACTGGTACAAGCACATCAACTGGCTCAACGCCATCTTCATCGTCTTCATCCCGCTGGCCGGCTTTGTCTCCGCCTACTGGGTGCCTCTGCAACTCTCCACCGCCATCTTCTCCGTCATCTACTACTTCAACACTGGCATGGGCATCACAGCTGGTAAGTGAAAATGGTCCATCATCGATATCAGTTTGAGCTCAGCTTTACTTACATGAATTTCTCTTTTAAAATAGGCTACCACCGTCTCTGGGCTCACTCTTCATACAAGGCCACTCTCCCTCTGAGAATCTACCTCGCTGCCGTTGGAGCTGGTGCCGTCGAGGGCTCCATCCGCTGGTGGTCAAGAGGCCATCGCTCTCACCACCGATACACAGACACTGACAAGGACCCCTACTCCGTCCGCAAGGGTCTCCTGTACTCCCACATGGGCTGGATGCTGTTCAAGCAGAACCCCAAGCGCATCGGCCGCTGCGACATCAGCGATCTCAACGAGGACAGCATCGTTGTCTGGCAGCACCGCAACTACCTCAAGTGCGTCATCTTCATGGGCCTCGTCTTCCCCACCGTCTTCTGTGGCCTCATGTTCGACGACTGGCTGGGTGGTTTCGTCTACGCCGGCATTCTGCGCATCTGCTTCGTCCAGCAGGCCACCTTCTGCGTCAACTCCCTGGCCCACTGGCTCGGCGACCAGCCCTTTGACGACCGCAACTCACCCCGTGACCACGTCATCACCGCGCTCGTCACCCTCGGCGAGGGCTACCACAACTTCCACCACGAGTTCCCGGCCGATTACCGAAACGCCATTGAGTGGTGGCAGTACGACCCTACCAAGTGGATGATTGTCCTGTGGAAGTGGACTGGCCTGGCCTACGACCTGAAGCAGTTCCGCGCCAACGAGATCGAAAAGGGCCGTGTCCAGCAGCTCCAGAAGAAGCTCGACCAGAAGCGCGCCACCCTCGACTGGGGCACTCCCCTTGAGCAGCTCCCCGTCGTTGACTGGGACGACTTCGTCGCCGACTCCAAGAACGGAAAGGCCCTCGTGGCCATTGCTGGTGTTATCCACGATGTCGGCGACTTTATCCGCGATCACCCCGGTGGCAAGGCCCTGATTTCCTCCGCCATCGGCAAGGACGCCACGGCCATCTTCAACGGCGGTGTCTACAACCACTCCAACGCCGCCCACAACCTGCTGTCCACTATGCGTGTCGGTGTCCTCCGCGGCGGCTGCGAGGTCGAGATCTGGAAGCGTGCTCAGTTCGAGAACAAGGACGTCACCTACATCAACGACTCTGCCGGCCAGCGCATCGTCCGTGCCGGCTCCCAGGTCACCAAGGTCGCCCAGCCCATTGCCAGCGCCGACGCTGCTTAAATCAGTTGTCGTCGTTGAGCATTTCTTTTGTTTTCTCACATTAAAGGAAAAGAATGGAGTTTTTCCAAGCTCGGAAAAAAAAGCTGTGTGAGGAGAAAGAAGCGGTGTGTGGGGTAGATCGGGGAAAGCTCCGGAACCAATTAGCATGTGATGGTTGCATCCCATCTAAGGCTTTTTGAACAAACCAGAAAACAAACTATCACGAATTGGCGTTTCAAAGGGGGGACATTTTGTATTTCTTTTTAAAGGGGCCTGCTGAATAGGCTGGACATTAGGGGCGTTTGTATTTAAACAGAATGAAGTGAAAGAAAGGGAAGGCTAGATTCAATTCCACTGAGCGATGGGGCATGTGGGAAAAAGACAACTCTCAATGATGATATATACAATTATATACATGTTTCGTCTTACTTGAAGCTTGAAGAACGATGAAAAGACCCTCGCGTGAAAGCCGTAGCTAGTAAATAAAGCACTGATGCCTGCATTCGCCGTAACATTTGAAAACAAAACTCCATGTCATCCCATTTCATCCACAAAACCTTTATATACTCATTTCATACACCATCAAAGTCATCATCCCCTTGAACACTATCACAGTACCCATGAAGTCATCATCAAGGCGTCGCCATCCTCGTCTTCATCATGACCAGCTCCGAGCTCTTGGCCCACTGCCCGTCCGGCGTCTGCCGATAGCACAGCAGCCGCCCGTCGTCGCCCGTGCTGCCCAATATCTGGCCGTCGTCGTCGAAGCCCACGCGCCACACGGGCGTGCGGTGGCTGTCGAGCCGGGAGACCTCGCGCGCGACGTGCTTGATCTGGCCGGGCTGGCCGGTCCAGGCGCGCTCGTGGACGGCGCTCGACTTGGCGAGGCTGGCGCTGAGCGTGGAGGACGGCTGGTGGTGGTGCTGGAAGTTGTGGTTGTTTGTGCTGGGGCCGGGCGTGTTGTTGTTTTCGTCCTTTGACGATAATGATGTGTCCTTGGGCGCGCGGCTGTCGGGCTTGAGGAGGTGGGCTGTGGACCACGACTTGCCGTCGTTGTCGGAGTAAGGAGTGTCGATGCGGAAGACGCGCGCGTAGCCGTCCTGGCAGGCTGTTGCGATCATGTCGTAGCCCCTGATGTTGCCCGGCGCCCACGCCACGTCCCTGACGAGTCCCCTATGTCCCTCAATCTCGACCGCCAAGTAAAACTCCTTCTGCAGCGTGTTGGCGCCAAAGTTCGACGACGCAATCTCCCGCGTGCGGTACACTTTCACCGATGTCATGCCCGCCACCACCAAGCCCAGCGAGTCCGACTGCACGCCCGCCCTGAGCGCCGCGTAGCACGGCTCCGGGTTCGGGTCGAAGCGCACCTTGAAGGCCACCTCGTCGCCGCGCCCGGGCCGCGGGCAGATGCTGAACTCGTCAATCGACGTGTACTCGGCCAGGTTCTCGGGCTGGTCGTTTTCGTACACGGTCAGCCGCCCGTCCGTCGCCAGCAGCGCCAGGTACGTCTGCCGCGTCTCCTCGTTGTGCTTCATGGAGAAGGACCGGTACGGCGCCCGCGTCGACCGCGTGTCGAAGGCGGGACGGCCATTGACCGACCGCGCGGCGCAGAAGCGGCGCCCTGGAGCGGCTGAAGGGTTCTCAGCCCAGAGACGGAACCAGCCCTCTATGCCGAGAGAGGCGACGAGGTTGGGATATATCGTAGATGGAAGCCATTGTAGCTGTAGCAGTACCAAAGAATCTCAAGCGTCAGCTTTCTGTGATGAAACAAAAGGGTAAATATGATAGATAGAGACAAACCTCGACAACCTCGCCTCCATGCGCGCTCCATGTATCGCACAACCTCCACGTCCCATCCCGATGCCGGTTAAACACCCGAATCTTGCCATCCACAGACCCCGTCGCGCACCGGTCGCCGTAAGCGTTGAACGCAATCGCCTGCACCAGGTCTCTGTGGCCGTGCTGCAGGTTGAGGTCAAACGACTTGTTTTCGTCGTCTGTCGGCGACTGCGGGATCGAGCTTGTCATGTCTTTATGTTGTGCTCGAGCTTGGCTTTTTGGAGAGCTACTTGGATATGGGGGAATTGGTGTCTTTCCGTGCGCAGAAAGGTAGAAAGCGCTTGTTCAATTGATCTGGCTCTTGATTTTGCGACAGGGGGCCGAGTTGCTGCTTTTTGTCGTATCCAGTACAACTACTGGATGCATGGGCTTTGTTGGGGTGAAGTTGAAATTGAGGCGGCATGTGAAGTGATAACGGACGGAAATGGCAGCAAGATACTCTCGAGCTTGAGGTCACTTGGCGGGGCAGCAGAGGTACCTGTCTGTGGCTTGCCCTGTGCCCGCTAAGCCACAGTGGCTCACCATCAAAAGCTTCAAAGTCTTCAATTCGAACTCCGTCTCAACATCTCCTCACCATGGGAAGTGGATCACCACTTCAATCGGTTCCATGGTCTAACGGTTATGACTGCGGATTCTGATTCCGCCAGCGAGGGTTCGACTCCCTCTGGAACCTTTTTTTGTCCCTCTGTTATTCTTTTTGAATGGCTCAGTCAGTTTGGCTACATCACAAAAGCACATTACACAAAACCGGCTTTGATCAAATGTCGTGTATTTGTAAGATATATATAGACTTTGAATCGCAGAGCATTCTTTGAGCTCGCTGCCTTCCAAGCGCATCTCTGAATGGAGAGGAAAGGAGAGAGAAACAGAGCACGCATGTAGGTAAATGCCCCAGCCAACCAAATCATCAGCCCACCAAGTTGAAGCAGGATATTATCCACTAAAGAAAGCTCCTCAATATGTGACACTCGTGACCGTATGAATAAAATGCAACCCCCATCCGTGCCTGAAAGCAACTCCAAAGTCAGTGCATTCTGTAAAAGGAGAGAAGAGAGAGGGAGGGTTAGGAGAGAGGGGAAGAAAGGAGGGAAGAAGAGAAAAACAAAAAGAGGTCGCTGCCCATGTCTAAAAACTCATAAAAACCAAACCGTTCCAGGGCGATGAGGGAAACGGTTTCTTTTCTCCCCAAGTCGTTCGCCAATTGCGCCACGAGGCCAGCTTCTGCACCTGAAGCGCTCGTTTGTGTAGTAATCAAAAAGATGGGAAAGAATAAGGGGTATATATCATACGTCCAAAAAAAAAAAAGAACAAGGAATCAATCGTCCGAGTCTGGTGTTGATGGTGTTGATGCCGCTGCTGCTCGGGATGGTGGCCGATGAGCGAGCTTCATCAGATGAGGAGTTGTAGGAACGGGCGTCTCCGCGTCAGGTGTGGTTGCGACGGGGACCTCGACGATGGGCTTCCGGAGCTCGTACAACTGCCGTCTCAGTTGTGGGCCGTCCCACAGATCCTCCCGCCACGGCCAGCTCTTCATCATGTCAAACAGCTTTTCGCTCATCGAGACCGTGTAGCAGTTCGATGCCGCGATATATAGCGTGGTGACGACTCCAAAGTCCACATTGAACCACGGCGACTGTCCGGGTACCAACGTCGCCCGCAAGCCATCCTTGATCATCTCCGCAATAGAGGCCACTTCTCTAAACTGGCTCTCTTCTTCGTCGGGAGGCGTATAGGCCAGACCCTGGGGCAGAGGCATAAAGTTAAGACCGATCGTCGCGCCGCGATGTTTGAGCAGGCAGCCCATATACTTCAGAAAGTCGCGCGGGTTCGGCGCCCGTTCCATGTCTCCGTACATACTGTTTGCCTTCTTCAGCAGCTCTCTGATATGATAGCATCTCTGGTGTAGCACGTCGAACTGGAACCGGGCGGCCTCATGGTCCCAAGCAGTGTCATCACCATTGTACTGTCTGCACATCCAGTTAAAGGCGTTGACATCCTGAAACAAGTCATCGACAACCTCTTGGAGCTTCTCCAATGATGTAAACTGCTTGGGCCCTGCGGCGTTGCTCTTCCTTGTCTCATAGGCTTGGAGAGACAAGGAAGGTGGTGAATTGGTCCTCATGAATGCTGCCGATCCTTCCCATCTGCGAAGCAGCTTCGTCATGTAGGTTGCCCTGGCGTGAGAATTGTCGTGATCGTGGCTGAATATTTCTGGGTGGCGGAAGACGTCTTCGACCTCGTCTGGGAGGTTGGACATTAACCGGATGCCGTTGGCGAGGTGCATCATGGCAGTTGGCCAGTTCCCTCGCAGAATCTCAATGTAGAAAAACGAGACGCAGCATATCATGATGATTCCGTAGCGTTTCCTCATGGGCAGCCCGTTCAGCTCCTCGGCCATCCTATTCAGCGACAGGTTATACTGTCTGATGATGTAGCGCTCGCTGTTAGTTGGCGGGCCGATGGCAGTTGTGCCGGATCCCGAGAGCCTAAGGTCGTGATATGCAGAGCTGAGAGCGACCATGGCATGCCTCACGGCTTTAGACGTGAAGCAATACTCTGGTACGACATGTCCCCAGAAGAAGGTGTTGTGAACATGCGTGATGCCCACCAAGTCCTCCGCTAGAGGAAGAAATTGGGAAATGTACTGACTCTCCACCGTGTCGCCGCTGAAGTTGGTCACCAGGGGTCGTAGTTGCGTCAGAGAAGATGATGATGAATTAATCGATGAAGATGATGAGAGCTGCTGAGAGAATCCAGGCTTTCTCGTCGCCTTTGGCTTGGCGGTGGTTTTGTAGCCATCGCAAGTTCGACCTGTCGAGATGCATCTCTGGCATGCCGGTTTCTGCTCGTCGCATTTGATTCTTCTTATTCTGTAACAGCGAGGCTCACGGTTAGTATGCGAAACGGAAGCAAGGAATATGGGGAAGAGGAGAAGTTCATCATCATCCTCGGTTTGGTGTATAAGAATGTAGCTCACTTGCTGTTCCCCTGTTGTTAGCCGCAAAAGGTTCAAGTTATGGCGGAGAGCGAATGAGAAGAGGCGTATGTAAGGGGCCTCGCCCTCACACAAGGTCGGGTTACACAACATACCAAGTCACACAGCCCGTCCGAACCTTGGGCTTGCCGGCCCGTCTTCGCTTTTCCTTGACCGGGGGTGTTTCCGACTCCTGCGGTGGTGTCATGGGAGTAACGACGTTGGAAGCCGTGGGAGAGGGTTTTGGGGGCGCCATGATCGACGCATTGGCTGGAAATACGAGGTGCGTTACGGCTTGGAGTTGAAGATCCCACGCCTCTCCAATAAAGTGATGGAAATGAAAAATGAAACAAGCAATTTAAAAGCCGCCAGTATCGATGCGAGCACTAACGCAGTGCAGAGGAGATGCGCCGAAGTACGAGCAGGTCGACCCAACGCAAGAGAGCGAAGACCAACACACGGCCGGTTAGAGTGGAAGCCAGACGGGAGGCTCTTTGGCGGACGAAAGAGGCTCGAAGCCCCCAACCGGCGAAGATCGTTGCAGACTTGTCTCTGGAATATTTTTTTCCCCCTTCTCGTGTGCGACCCTGTTCAGCAACCAAACGGGGGCCAGTACGTGCTTGACACGACCAAAATGGCGGGGAGCAGGAAAACAGCCAGCACGAACAAATATTAAATGCTGACAGCAGATACTTGTACAGTCAAGTGGGCTGTCAACGGCCTTGCAATGCTTCAAAGCCCACTCCTGTCGCCCGCTGGCTCGCTCTCTCGCGCTCAAGCCCAAGCTGTCCAGGGAGTCAATGACCCGCGGGCCGGAATGCGGAGCCTGACCACACTAAGCAGAAAGAGAAACTGGGAGGAGGGCGATGGAAATGAGCCAGGGAAAAGGCGCTGCAGGGAAAGGACTTTTTTCTTCCCAGCAGTCCAAGTCTTGGAATCAACAGACAAGGATGTGGCTCTTGTTTTCTATCGAGCTGGTCTTCGGCTCGTCACGGAGGCACGTCGCCACTCCACGCCGAAAGAGGCACGGAGCGAATTAGATGATTTGAGTAGTTGCGCCTTGGGAGACTCTGGCTGGACTAGGCCATCGAACGGGCTCGAGAGGGGCGTGCCTAAGCTGGGCCATTAGCCATTAGTCTAGTGGCTGGCCCTTTGATGCCATGCCCATCCAAGCCCATCCCCATCGGCTCTCGCTGGGCTGAGGCCAGGTGGATTGGCAACATTAGCCTGGCATCGACCTCGTCGCACACAGACAGGCACATATGCAACCTCCCTAACAGATTAGCCCCAGCAGATTACAGTAGTCCCAGCGCCGACGGCTTGCTCTGCCGTAGTTCCCCCCCTGCAGGCGTCGCAGCGTCGCAGTAGCTAGCAGAACTCGTACTAACCTGCTCTCTTGGCCACAACCTTCAACCGCCCGTTTGCAGCCGCCTCTTGCAGGACCATGCCATTGATTGAAAATGCCGACATAGGGGGCGCGTAGCTTGCCGGCCGCGGCAGTTGGACGCCGACAGCGAGAGCGAAAGCGCTGGGAATTGCTGCATGTGGTGTTTTGGTCAAAAGTCAATATCAAAGGTCCGAGGAAGAAACATGGAAGGGCTGCCACATGGAGGCTTCAAGTTGAGTTGAGCGCACGGCAGGAAGCGTCCTGGCACCCGCCATGGTTCTTGCAAAGTACCGCATCATACTGGGAACGCCTCAGTTCGTTGCAAAAGGCCTTTTCCAGCCTGCCTAACCTGTGGCGGCTGTGCTTACGGACCCCGTAGGGAGTACATTGGCTCTACTTTGGGCGTGGTACCTGTGAGGTGGTGTCCAGTACCGAAGCGCGAGGTATTGCCGCCCACACCCGACGTCAAAAAAGTACCTGCAAATAAGCCGACCCATGTCTCCCAGCAGCAGGTTCGAGGTAGCACTCCCAACCGATTTTCCGGGACGCCTCACGAACCAGAAAGTGGGTTGATCCATTTTGCCCAGGGTAAAACGAGAAGCGTGAGAAAAAATCTCATCACCAACCTCGATCTGCAGCAGGCAATGTATTACATGCTGGGAGCACTGTATCCCTAAAATAAATCCGAGTACCGCTACGGAATCCCGGGTGCCCGCAAGCTCTTTCGGAGTTGATAGGGAATAGCATTTTAGGCGTTTTCCATTCGGGTTTCTTTGTCATGGCCATTATCTGCGACAAGCCCTCAACTCCTAAGCCGAAGTGGCTTTAGTGGTACATACAGTTACTAGCACCCTGGCAGGGAGCAAAAGTGGCATTGAGGACTTTGGCATTGCATGTGCCCTGAAAGACAGCATCTGAGGCACGCACAGGTACACTTGCCCGGCATGGGTGTTTGGACAATCGAGCACTAAAAAGCCGAGACAATGAAGGGGAGAGCGCAGAAAAAGGAAAGAAAAAATGACCCAACGCCGCACACCTCACCACAGCATTGTACATAACACAACACGAGATGCAAGACGAGCGAGACGCAAATAACCCGGCTGACAAGTCCTTGGACATGTTGGTTCGTTGGTTTGCCCCGTCGATCATATCATGGCGCCCCGGGTCCGTGAGGCCGGTACCCCGATTAATAGTTGGGTTCCAGATCCAGCCGGCAGACCCTTTCCAGAGGATTTGGGCACCACTAACGAGTTAGAATCCCCAGAACCAGCTCCGTCCATGACTCGAGTAGCCACGAGGTGGAAAATGAAACTTGCAACTAGTTCTTAAGACAGCTCACAGCACTGGCTCGTCTTCTTTTCTTTTGGCCCTCTTTGCAGATTGCCATTGTGGGGGCCAAACCCGGTTCAAAGGATGGACATTCAATAGATTGCCTCGTTCCATCCAAAGTCCAGTTAGGGAAAAACGGATTGGATACCACTATTGGCAAGCGGTTTAGCAAGTATTACGCGGAATTTTTCATCCGAAGGCACCGGTTCGGCGGATAGACGGGATTACTTTAGCATGGAGCGTTCAGGTTTCGTTGCATCTGCATCCTGCCCTATGCCCAGAGAGTGTTTCAGTCAGCATCATATCACATTGAATCCTTCGCCAATGCTTTGCGCCTCCCTGCATGTCGAGGTGCATTCACGCGCAACTCAATCCAGAAAAGACCGCAGCTCTTTGCCTTTTTGACGAGGTATGCCAGTGACAGCTCCAAGCAGCTGCAGACGACCAAGCACGAAATTTAGTCGCCCTCCTCTTTCCCTCTCCTACACCCCCTCCAACAAAACAACGTGATAATCGGCGACCTTGTAAGGCTGAACAGCCGCCCGCCATTTCCCTTGGTCTACCCAGGATATCAGTGGTCAACTTAGACGGCGAGGTTAGGAAGCTTTGGGGCTAAACGGCTAGTGCTTAGGCACCGTCAAGAGGGCTGGACGTTCGGACCCGAGCTTCAAAGTTGTTGAAATCGAGACCGATGGGCCAATGAGCATTTCGCTGTGGCATTCAGCCCTAACTAGCTGAAGAGCGCCCTCTTGATAGTTTTGCGGACTTTGTGTCATTCATGCGCTCAATTGCTAGATCAGCTCGGCGAGCGGGTATCAAAGTACCCTCGTCGCCATTGAGCCACACGGGCCTGAGCATAAGACTGGACGTTTAAAGCCACCACGTCGCTTCGAAAGACATATCAAATGCCAACATAAGAGAGATAGGCGAGAACTTTGCAGGTTCTTGAATGGCATCACAACTTGCAGCCAAGTAATATTTTAGGAATGCCATTGGTCAGACTGGCGTGACACATGCTCTCTGGATACGGGAAGTCCATCTGACGCCCTGTAAGCTTTTTGCCAGAAGCAGAAATACTTGCAGCCGGCGTTTACAAGAGATGAAATCCGGCTGGATTACTCATCCGCATGCCTCCGGGAATTGGAGTGGTGTACTCCGTATTAAAACCAGAGGTAAGGAGAGCGGCAGGCGGGTGGCAAAGACAAACTATTTCGAGTCACATTTTAAGGTAAGATAACCTTCTCGAATGGATTACCCAATGATGCTGTCATCCACAGTAACAAGCATATTCATCCCGTCGTTGAAGTCTAAGTGTACGATTCAGAAAGGCTCTTATACTAATATAAGCTTGTAAGCTTACCAATGGGAGCGTTCTGCGCAATGATATGCCAGTCGAAGGGAAAGCTTCTGGCGCAGCTTATATTGTTGGAAATGCCTTAGTAATGTCGACTTCTATCAACGCCAATGCAGACCATTTTCGCTTTTAGGCTACTTGAACTACAAACACGCCGGATTCCCAGGTCGGCGGACCAAGGCACAGCACCTACTAAGGTGAGTAGAAGCAGTAGATGAGCATATCAAAATTTAGTGGTATCGCCTCCTTGTTACTGGTACTCGGTGTAATCCATTGATGCAATATCGGTACTTGACAAGTACGCCCCGCCAAGCATTGAGCATGCACCTGTCACATGTATACGCGTGTACTGCGGCGGCAAGCTCTGGTGGGTCGCCGGAGCTCAATCGCGCATCGCATCCAAAAAGTTTCTTGCCTCTCAAATATTTGAAATCCCCAAACCGCTTCGCACATTTTCGCGTAATCTCTCCGCCAGGGTCAGCCGGCATCCTACTTCTGGTGTGAAAAAGCCAATCCGCCCTCGGCAAGATTTCCGGACTCGGCTACGGCTTCTAGCAAATCGCAATCGCATTCGCAATCATGAGTAGCCTTCTCGCAAACCCGCTGGCGACGCCATCGCAGCTGTATCGCCGCGCTTCTTCCGCAACCTTGCCGCGAGATGTCGATGAGGCTGTCTATTTTGCGACGCAATGCCTGACGCAGGCGGCGGGCCGGTTGTTGCAACTGCCTCAATCGGTAACGGCGCAGGCTAATGTCTTGCTGGCGCGGTTCTGGCTGGCAGAGTCGCCAATGGCTCATGAGTTCAGCGTAGGTGGTTTGATAGATGGCTGACCAAGGACGAATGAAGATGACTAACATTTGGTATTTGCCACAGGACGTATCTGCTGCTACGATATATCTCGTCTCGAAGCTGGGGCCACTCCCTCGCTCTCCACGAGACGTCTCTAACGTCTACGCCTATCTATCATCTGCCAACTCGGCCCTTTTCCCCAGTGGCGAGCTGCCCAAGGACGACCCGAGGGCATACTATCAGACCGAGGCGGACTACTATGCTTTCCAGCAGCGGATGCTGGGCCTGGAGGCCCGCATCCTTCAGTCGCTTTCATTTGATACCCAAGTCTCTCTTCCACATCCGCTAGCCATTACCTATCTCCAGACTCTGGACTTCCTCTCACAGCCCCGAACAACAGTCTCTCTTCGAACGATTCAATATCTCAACACGGCTCTACTGTCACCCCAGATGCTTTACATAACGCACCAGCCTAATGCCCTGGCCACAGCAGCGATATACAATGCGGCGCGTGATCTAGGTGCCAAGATGCCAGAGCATGAGTGGTGGGAAGTGTTTGACGTTGACCGTGAAGAATTGGGATTTCTAGTGGTTGCCATGCGTAGCGTCGAAGGGTGGATGCAAAAACTCAAAGAAGACTTTCCGAGCTTCGGCAACAACATACTAAAGAGAAGCGTGGTGGAGGACGAACTGCATAGGAGAGGGTTACAAGTCGGCAACCGGGACAATACACCTCGAGATGAAGAGGATGAAGTTATGCGAATGATGGACAGCCGATAAGGCAGTATTCCTGCCATGGATGAAACTACGAAACTAGATTCGTCATGCACGAAGCTGCCCGCCTTGGAGCGCCAAGCTTGGAAATCCGCCTCAAGCATCCAGATACAACACGAGTCAATGGCCAGCATCAGGCATATTAGCCTTAGCTGCCAAAGGACTCCCGGAATTCGTCTTCCGGTGATTTATCATTCGATTATGCGAGGGTTGCCTCAACTAAAACAGCTGTTCCTGTCACGGATTGTCAACACCAATATCGTCAAGGTCTTCTTTTCGGACCCCACGAGGCGTCGCTTGGCTGAGCAAGGAATGGTCTGAGTAATATCACAGGCGGAATGGTCTCGATGCGCAGCGCATTGGCTGAGGCTCCTTGAGCTCCCGCATGCTGAAAGTGGCTTCGAATCCCTGTAAAAGTGCCATGATGCTTGGCAGCATTCCGTGCCATCGGAAACCGGTTGCTTGCATGGCTGCTTTTTGAGCAACGCAACGGCCCAGTCAGAGCCCGCATTGCCTGAGATAGCAGTCGGTGCTCCAAGTAGACTATCGATCAAGTATTAAGAGTGCTAAGGTAGCGTGTAGAGGCGATGATACATTTCCTATCCTCTACTACGACAGCATCATTACTCTACGCTTCATCTGATTTGATACTCTGAAATCTTTTTCTCCCACTGTTCTTCCGAGCTATATCGATGTGGGATATACCATGGATGACACGGTATCGACACTAGGGATAAAGCAACCAAATTTGCCTTTAAATTTTCACGTGGATTAGCCACCAGCTTAGGATAACACCGAGTCAATATCCTCTCTTACAGAAGATGTTGCAAGATGGAACTATTCACGGCTAGCTTTTTGCATATTACATAGGCTAAACAGCACCGAAGACAGATACGTGTATACGAACACAATCGCGAAAAATAACGCTTTCTGTGACAGCTAGCTTCTCTTAGCTGAAGCACCACAGCAGCAATGACCATCCGCCACCCCGCTTAAGGAAACCCGTGGGGATGTTGGCTGAAAAGGCCAATACTATTGCTGATTCACATTATTATCAGCGGTGAGACTGAGACAATCCGGACTATCAGTGCTGCGTGGTTGGTTGATACTTGTTCCTCAAGGCCAATCGGCACGTCATTCTATCACGTCTCAGCTTCACCGTGGGGCCCCAATGTGGGGGAAGACAGCAATAAGACGGCAATGTGGGATGGGCTTTGCTGTTAGATGGCGGCGCCAAAAAACGGACTCAGACGGCCACCGAATAACCCCGAATCCTGATGGAACTATTGAGAGCTATTGTGTAACGTCATTTTATCAGAAAAAGACCTTCTCGCTTGTGTTGCATGGATTCTAAGTATCGAAGCCACCTGAAAGAAAAAAAGGGACCCTTCCCCAGAGTATTGACTTTCTGGGCCGCCTCTTTTACCCGTGATAGCATGTGGCACGGAGATAACACGCCTTTTAACTCAGGTTGCTCTGTTTTCTCTGATGAAAAATAGTAAGCATAAAACCGACGAGCCGAAATCTTGTTTCCATCTTGTTTCCATCTTTCAGCTAGAGAACCTCGAACCATTTTGTCGGGCATCTGCCGAAAGGCGCCACCATCTAATCAGTGCCAAACCCCAAACAATGAAGCCGAGCCATCCAGAGCCCAAATGGCTTCTGCCCAGCCAACAGCTAGCTAGCCACTAAGACACGAATAATGTCATATCGGCGGTGTGGGGGGCCGCATGTGTGTGTGTATACCTGCATGTAGATGGCTTTCGCTGTTCGCTTTGGCAAACCGATCATCACGCCTCCAAAGAAACATTTACATCCAATCAAATCCCATATATTGTAACGAATGTCTTGGAAGCCTACTGAGAGACACAGCGCCACCAACCTTGTGCTTGTGAGAGCTGAATTCTGCTTCTTCGCCGTGCGACCTTTTTTGTTAAACCCCGATTGTTACTTTGGGGGCTGGAAATGAGCTCCTCAATGTTCGGCAACGTTTTTTTCATCGCAAAATGTAACCGCCAAGACTGATGGATTTGTTTTTTTGCATGTGGCAAAAGTTTGACACAACATGCTGCTTTAATCGAGAAGTTTCGTCACCTGTGAAGAAGTCTTGGCGGCGGAGCGCCGGCTTCTAGAAGCCTTGGCTGCAACGTTGAGTGTGCAACGTCAGAAAGTGTGTGCAGTAGCGTCACTGTAGAGAGTTTTGCTTCTGATGATGGGATTCATTCTCATCACCGCCCTTGACGCAGCTCATTCAAACCGATTCTCATGTCTGAAACAATGCCTAAGTTATACAAACAGCACCAAATACTAGTATTGTACAGACACTTTCAGATCATCGTTTATGCCATTATGTCACAGTGGGCCACTGAAACAAAATCAGCATCTGCTTCTCCATTTCCATTTGCATTTGCATGTGCATGTGCGGTCCTAATTTCCGGGTTCCGAACCGCGCCTTTGACCGCTTTTGCCGACCGAACATCGACCTTCTTGCATTGAGCGGCCATCTTTTCAGTGCTCGGTGAAGGAAATGCTTGCTTGCTATTTGGTGCTTTTGTGCTGCGCTAGTCTAGTACATGCGTTGATGTGCAGTGAAACGATTGACACAGGGCGAGCACCTGATTGTCTGGCTATCGACATGTCCACGTCTGTCAGAAGATGCTGACAAAGGAGCCTCTGTGATTTACATCTATTTGATTTGCCCTGAATAAGGGGTAAATAATGATGGCCCTAATTCAGTAAATTTTGGCATTGGAGTCCATGGACTGGGGAAAAATAAGAAGCATGGACGTTCTGTAATTAATACTACGGAGCACCCACAAACTCCACACATATCAAAAGCATTACATACGGCCGTCCAACAGCAGTAGGGAAAAACTAAGGCGCGGGATTAAATAGCTCACCTACCTTATCCAGCTATGTGTTCATGTACTGATAGAAAAAGACGATGCAAACAAAATAAAAGAAAGAAAAGGGAAAGAAAAGAGGATGCAAAAAAGAAGTCCTGTGCAAAATTTGAACCCGCGACCAAAGCCAGACGCAAAAAGAAATAATAAAGTGCCAGCCACTCTGAGATAACCTGTGAAGGTTAATCTGCGGCTCCTTTTGCCTTCAGCTGTGAATCTTGAGTGAATCCTTCGGGAGAGCGTAGAAGTGAATATTGAAGTCTAGATCGGCCACTTGGGGGCCACGCCCATAGGAAGAGTAAGAATAGAAAAAAGTAAAACAGCCAAAAGGGGGAATGGCTTTTAATAATTTGATTCATACACGGGATTGGCAGAGTCTATCTGTGATAGGCCGGGCTAATTCCCCGTAAATGGTGCCGGTATCAGGTCTCCCCATGGAAGTTACGTGTATCCATTGCACCGGGCCGAGTCTGATCGCTGGATCTCCGTTCCCGCCTTTTTTATTTTGTTTCTTATAGTTTACTGGGGATCTATAAAGGCAGCCCTGCTCCCCCCGTTTGCCCACACTTGGCTTCCTCTTCTTCCTCCAAACCGTTTCTCTTACTCGCCGAATTCTCTCTTGACTATTCGACTGTGTCTTACACTTTCGCCAAGACCTTACCACACCTACGACATCCAAAATGCCTTCAACTTCTTCTACTCCTCCTGCGGCCGCTGCCGCTCCCGCTGGTCCTGCTCCTGCTGGCCTCGGCGAGAACAAGGGCATCAAGTTCCAGATCAAGACGGGCAATGCTCGCTGGGAATGCACTCTGCAAGACCGTGCTCACTAGTATGTCTAACCATTATCATTACTCTGGCGCAGCATAAGATTCTCGTCATATCAAACGTCACACGGCAGCATCTAACATACATCCGCAGTGAGCGCAAGAAGGCTCAGCGCACCGATTCCACCGACTCTACTTCCACCACCGACTCTTCTTCTACTGCCGAGTCAAAGTAAAACGAAGAAAATAAATAAAACGAAACCCAAAAAAAATCCACCAGAGCTATATTATGGCGTTTAGTGGAACACTCCCGCGCTCTTGAAGTCACTCTCGTTTCCACGCCAGGGATTCAGAACGACTGCAGGAGGAAAATCGTGGAGCTCCGTTTCATACTGCCTCACTTTGAGCAGTCGGTGTTATAGGTGGATGCGTGCTTTTAGCGATTGGGATTTGTTACTTAGATCTTGGGGCATTTTAGAAACCCGAGCTGTCCTTGCAGATTAGAATCATACTACCTTGATTTATTACGATTTTTTCTGTCTCTCGTGCTGTAAATAAGTGAGGGAGATTCAATCCATATGCAGCGCTTCCTCATGCAAGACAAGCTTCCAACGCCCTGGCCAAGAGCTTTAGAACAAGAAAAAAAAGGCTTGTCCGAGAGGATTGACGGCGTCATCGGAGCCAATTGGACAGTGGACCACAAGCTTCGAATGTTCTAGGACGCGGCCATGGCTTCCAGATGAGGACGATGGAGTCCGGAGCCGTCAGCTTGGCAAACAAGGATCCAGTCGAGCCAGCAGCGAAGCATCTTCGCGGCTTTGGTAAAAACATCGCCATGTGTGACTTGCATGCTGGGGAGCTCGCGTGACGGAGTGCCAAGTTGTGCGATGTGATAGTTTTGTATGACCTGATTTTGATAAGCTTCTCTGGCTAAACAAGGTGCTGTTTTGCTGTGCTTGAGCTAGGACCGGATCGGGCCGTTACCGGGGAGAAGAACGTTGAAGTTCGGAGTAATACTCGCTGTTGGCACCGCACCATTATCTTGCCTTTTTTTTTATCTCTCTTCTCTATGCCATTGTGATTTCTTGGCGTTTCGATTCTTCGGTGTCTCGATTGGGATGTTGGTCGATAATCAACGTAAAAAAAAATGCGGGTTAAGATTCCATGCCGTAATTAGCTACGGGGGGTAGTCTATGAGGCGAGCACTGACATATATCGTGTGTCGCGTGCTCACTGCTAACTAAATAGTTAGGACGGGATTTATGGATATGTTCAACTCAATCATCTACCTTCTGCTCATCATGCTTCACATCGATCCGTCGCTCAACATCCCAGAGATGACCCTTGTCAATTTGCATCACCTACTGGGATTAACAGAGCTGTGATTCTGCTGCATTGAGAAAGTGGAAAGCCAGCGGCTAGGCAAACCTTGTCAGTATGTCACACAAAGCGCCGAAGAATCGACGAATTTGGCGATTCCTTATTACCAACAAGGCAGCATCAAGATGATGCACATGGTGCCTGACACGGAAATTCCCAGCTTCCACTTTTTGGAATTTGTCAACTTGATGTGCCCACTTATGACTGACAGTATCTGCAAGTAGGTACGCTTATTCCCATGAAGACGCCTTTATCCATGGATACCTAGTATGAAGTATCTGTTATGGGACTCCTCTGTAGAACCTCAGACGGGAGCGTTATCTGAAATCCCCCACAAATAACCCGTCTTCTGTTAGTGGGGGTTCCATCATCGTACATGAGCTTGCGTCTGTTAGTGCAGCTTGTCAACGGCACTAGCATTATAGGCCTTGCATGTTGCTGCCAGATGGCATCTGTTTCCGCTTGACACATCACGGATGCCAACGTTGAGCCTGGGCTACCGCCATGCAGTGCTTCCTCAGCAGATTATTGGGCACCCGGATATCAGCACAGCACATTTAGCATCAGGTATCAGCTATCAAGTCTCAGGTATAGGTACGTGATGCGTTGTCATGACAGGTCAGAGATCAGATCATGTGACGCTTCAGCCCCAGGTTGGCAGTACCGAGTACCTGCACCCAGGCGCCCACCCAGGCCGCGCATGGCGTTACGAATACGCCAGCAAAAAGCGTTGAGGAAGTGGCAAAGCTTCGCCCAGGACCACGCAATCAGGTCGCCTTAGGTTGCTTCCTGTGGCTTGTCCTGTTGCTCTTCTATCAGCTGTGGCGGTGACATCTTTGACTTTTCCCTCTCTCAACTCTTCACAGACCGGGTCGATAGACTGAGAGCAGCAGAAAAGGACTGTTGCTCATTCGGCTGCCTTTTCCCTCTCGCTTCCGCTCTCTCCTCCTCCTCCTCCTCGCACGCAATTGCAGAGTTGCAGCCGCCTGCTGATCCGCATTTCCCAAGTCAGCAGCTCAGGCGCTCGTTGCCTTGCCTGTCTGTGCCTTAGCCGCCCGTCTGCTGCCCCTCTCGCTCTCTTGCGCAGACCAGCGCAGACCAGCTCAGACCTGCTTCTTACATACATACATACACCGAATACCTACTTAAACCCGCCGATCCGCCAACATGCCCATAGCACATCATATGGTCCTGGCCTCGGGCGCCGTCGTCGCCGTCTCAGTGGCAGTGGCTACCTTCATCGCCATCTACGAGTCCCCCGAGCTGCGCCAATACGCCGACGACGTCCGCCGACGCATCGCCATGGCCTTCTACTCCATGGGTGACGGCATCACTCCCCCAGCCAGGGAGCCCCGCTTCAACAGGCCCGAAGACGCCGAGGGTTTCCTTCAGTCTCGCCGTGGTACAGGTGCAGAGCCTGGCGTCGATGCCGATGACGAAACCCGCCGCCGGCAGAGAGAGGAGCTGTTGTACTGGAATGCGGTGCGGCTCCAGCAGCAGGAGCGGGAGAGCCAACAGCTGAACTCCTCCGACCCGCCCCCCAGACCAGCCAAACTACCTCGCGGATCTACCTTTGACGATTTTTTGCAGCCGGATACCTCTGCCGAGCAAGAAGGTGCATATGTCTTCAACTCTGGTGCCGACACTAGAGACTATGGCGGCCTGCGGCGTCGCGGAGAAGGCGCCCGAGGCTTCATGTCACCCGCTTACTCCAATCCCTTCGCAGACGAGCATCACATCGAGGCCGACGAAATCCAGGACGCCCACATTGCCCGCCAGCTCGCCCCAGAGCAGAGCGAGGTCATGTCAGACATTTACAGCGCAACCACCCGTGATGATCATGAAGAGCGTCAAACTGCTACTCTGGAGCCTGTCTCACCAGCACCGTTGATTGATGTCGCTCCGCTACCCATTCCATCACAGTCACCGCCACCTACTCTCGAGCGAGAGCTCGCCGAAAACGAGTTCATGTCTGCTGGTCAAGAAGATCGCCGCGACGTCCATGCTACTATCCAGGCCTGGGCCCAGGAATCGAGCCGTGACTTTTACTCCCCCCTCCCCGTGACTCCCGTAGCACCAATGTCTGAGCCGGACGTCATTTCTCAAGGAGAGCTTACCCCCACCGACTCCATTTCTCTTGTTGGGTCAGGCGAGGATATTGCCAATGATGCTCACTTTTCCGAGCATGACAGCAACGGACGGTACATGGACGTGATGAGCGAGAGCGAGGGCATGGCCACCCCGGCCAGCTGGTCAGAGGTGGGTAGCGTCATCAGCGACAACGACGGCCCAATGCACGCGTGAGCGTAATGTGTGTAACTTGGCATATGCATATGCGGTCTGTCACCATACAAAAGAGAGCCTAAACCGGGATCCTGTTCTTATTTCCTTTTGATATGTTGTTTCCTTTTTGGGTATAAATGGTGTGGCGTTGAGTTTTGGCGCTCCGGGATCTGATTTAACCAGACATGACACTACTGCAGGTAGCCCCTCTATCGTTTACGGGCGTGTATATTCTTTTCATTCTTGTTGAATTTTTTGATCTCGTGGAAAGGTTAATAGTCAATTGTTGTGGCAACTTGGAGCAAGATATACGTGTTCAGATTTCTGCTGTCCTGTTGCGCTCCTTCAAACTATCTAACTCAATACCATTGCCTAACTAGGTATCTACCGATCAATGAAATCAAGCTCAAACCATCTTCTCTTTCTACACTGGAGTCTGTGCTTTCTATCCTATTATGGCAAATACTACGAAAAAGTATATATATTTATATCTGAGACATGGGGGATGGACAGCCAGGTTGGAATGCTGGCTACCTAGGTTTCCCCCCGTGATATGGCCCATATGACGACGGCAGCCTTGTGATTCCAAATGTACATATCTCAAGTCTAATTATACGCCATGTTGCAATGTTTTGGTATAGTCTGCAAACAAGTCTTTAACCTTTCTTCCAAAAAGCCCAGGCCAAAAGGTATCCTCGGCATATCTGCTGACTCTAAGTTTCTCGTTTATTCGACGAACCGTCCCTTGGCCATAGAGCTTTTCAAGATACTCCAGGAAGTAGGCAGTGTGCTGATAGCCGGCATCCCAATTCGGTTTGATCTCCTGCTTCCAGTGCGGCGGCGCAAGGTTGCAGTGAAGGCGCACCCAGTCTGCGATGCCCTCGATGAGACCACCTGGGGCGGCGCCGAAGCCATTGTACTGGAAACAGTGGACAAGCTCATGAGTTACGACGCCGTTGATTTCGGGGGTCACGCGAGAGGGAGGGTTGATTTGCGCAATGTACGAGAGCGAAAAGTGAATTTCCTTGATGTTGTTGTTGTCATTGTGGCCGACTGTGTAGGCCACGCCGGGCATGTCCTCGAGGACGAGCGTCACGGAACTGGTTGGCGGAACTGTCGTCTCTGGGTTTGGGGGAGTGTTGTACAAGAGCTTGAGGACATTCAGGGTGCCCGTGGTAAGCAAATCGGTTGCGTTGACGGCGCCGAGGAAGCGCTTTGAGCCGGGGTGCTTGAGGTCTCGGATTTGGAGCTGGATGTTTGGCACGGAGAAGGTGCCCAAGTTGTCCTTGTGCTCATCTTGAGATTCTTCTTGGTGTTTCTGAGTGCCGTTTATGGGGGCTGAGGGGGGAAGAGGTGTGGGCTCTGCGATTCGGGTCATGGCGTTGATAATGTCTGCTGTCTATGTACTTTGGATATTTGTAATATGCAAGAGGACAGGCTGTGAAGACGAGATAGACACGAGTAAAGACGGGATATATATAAGTAAAGATGGGACAGATGTAAGTGAAGGCGATTGAGACAAGTGAACATGGGATAGAGACAACATTCCACTGCGGAAGACATTAATCATCACATGGCTAAATGGGGGCTGAAGAGTACAAGTGCCGGCCAAATCAACGCTTCTACACCTTCTTACTTCGGTCTATATAACAATCCTTCTCGGCACCCAATCGGGTGTTATACGTCTCAAGGTAAGCAGCCATGGTATCGATAATGCATCAGATCAGCTTATTCCTCGTCGTGTTCAACCTTGCAGATGCTGTTTAAAAGTCGCGGGGCAGCGCTGTATGCCGTTCACGATGGCGGGGTAGGGGACCCTTGACTTGGGCACTCTAGGGGTTCTGGGGCTAATCTGGTGCCCAAGCCACTGCCCTGACGCTCTCCCAGGGCTCCGAGGTATCCGGAACTTGTGGCTCTCAGGGGCTTCGTGTTGGTATATCCGCTGGTAGCCCCCTGGAGGAGTCACTGGAACCACTAAAGCGCCCTCATCTAAGCTCCCTGTCAAGTACCCTCTACACGCAAAATCAGCCCCTCTTCCCCCTCCAGGGGCGGCTGCTCACTTGCTCAATTGCACGCACAGACCAGCAGAAGCTCCAAGCTCCCGCCAGCGCTAAGCCACACGTGGCGCACTGGCGACCGGGGCAACAAGCATGGTCACGTCACGCCGCAAAAACTCCCTCCTGATTATTTTCTTTCTTTGTTTGGGCTTGAAATGAGCCGGACAAAAACACAACACAACTCCACACACACACTCACACTTACCACACATCAACACACGCGCCCGCGCCCGCTAACTAGACGGCGATAAGGGCAAAAAATCAACAGCGAAAGGGGAAAAAGAAAGAAATAAAGAGAAAAGGATAGAGGCAAAAGGAAGAGCGAATTACTAATTCATTTGCGCTGCCCCTCCAAATGCCAGCTTCATTCCAACGATACCCGCGCATACACAGTCTGAGACCTTAAAACGAGAGAAAACAAGGAGAACAGATAAGGAGATCGGGGAGGGGAAATCCTTTGCTGAGACGCAAAGAACAACCCGCTTATTGCTGTGAGTAACAGACGATTATCATTATCATCAGGAGTTTGCGCTGGCTCTGTTCACTCTTTTGCGACAGGCCAGTTTGTCGCAAAGTTGACTCGCTACTTTTTGCACACATGGCTTCCGCTACTCTGTGCAACAGAAAGGTTCTAACAAAGGCGCAGATTGTCCAGCAGCAGATTCGGTCTGCTACCGAATCCATGGCCGACACAAAGCTTACCGACGACCAGGTCAACAACCTGACGGCCGTCCTGCGAAACGACAACACCCACCTCGATGTCAAAGTACAGTATGTGAACACCATCAAGACCGGCATTAAGCAGCACAACGTCCCGGAGACGTGCATCCCCCAGCTCTTTGAAGGCCTCCGCGGCGCCTCCAGCTCCCAACATGTTGCGTTGGCCACGGCTGGCTTCACGGCCCTCAATCATCTCTTTACGCGCATGTCACGCCAGGAACCCAAGTATCTGGCCAAAGAGGCAACTCGGACGCTCCCTCTTGTCGTGGAGAAGCTGGGGGATTCAAAGGACAAGCCTCGCGCATTGGCAATGCAGAGTCTGAACACATTGTACGCCGTTGCCCCCGCCGATGTCGAGCGCTCGATTCGAAACATAGCCATGGCCAGCAAGAATCCGAGGGCCAAGGAGGCGTCTATGCAGTGGCTTTTGGAGGTAAGTTTTATCAGGCCTATAGGCGTGTGCATGAGCTAGGCCAGGACTGATATCGCTCTCTAGACTCATCAACAGCACGGTCTGCCATTTCGAGGATATGTCCCCAATCTGATGGAGCTTCTGGAAGATGCAGACGGAATGGTCAGAGATATGGCTAAGAACACCGTTATTGAGCTCTTTAAGTGAGATTCATCTTCTAACCCCTTTACCATAATGACTAACCCAACGACCAGGAATGCTCCCGGTGCTGCCAAATCCGACTTGAAACGACAATTGAAAAACTTCAAAGTCCGCCCTGCCATCGAACAAGCCATCGTTAAGGCCCTTGCCCCCACCGGCCCTCGCTCAGTAACTCCGTCAGATGCCGCACCTGCTCCTCGACCCGCCCTGTCAGCGCCCTCGTCCTTTGCCGCAAGCGAGCGACCCGTAACGCCCATGGAGGTTCCAGCCGAAGCTGTCGAGCCGCAATATGTTAACACCCATCGCGAATTGGACGACATCATTAAGGAGATGGCCCCCCATTTTGAAGGAAAAGAATCTGAACACAATTGGATGAAGAGAGAGAAGGGCATCGTGACATTACGGAGGCTGGTGGCTGGCAACGGCCCGGCAGACTTTTTGGATACTTTCATGCCTGGGCTCAAGGCGCTGCTGGACGGTATCATCAAGGCCGTCAACTCACTGCGAACAAGCTTGTCGAAAGAAGGCTGCAGTTTGGTTCAAGAGATGGCTGTCGCATTTGGGCCCTCTATGGACCCCTTGGTTGAGCTTCTCATGCAAACGTTTATGAAACTGGCTGCCAACACCAAGAAAATTAGCTCCCAGATGGCCAATGCTGCCATAGACGCCATTGTGAGCAAGGTCACATACACTCCCCGTATCATGCAGCACATTTGGGGTGCAGTTCAAGACAAGAATGTACAGCCTCGAACCTATGCCTCTGGATGGCTGATGACAATACTGAGGAAAGAGGCTCATCACAAAAGCCATGTTGAGCATTCCGGAGGCGTCGAATTGATGGAGAAATGTATCAAAAAGGCCCTGGGTGACGCCAATCCCGGTGTCAGAGAAAAGATGAGAGCGTTCTACTGGGCATTCTATGCTGTATGGCCAGCGAGAGCTGATGTGTAAGTCTCGTCTCAACAAAAATCTTGACATACAAAAGAAATCCAGTCTAACAAGCATAACCAAATTACAGAATCATGGCAGACCTGGATACCACCGCCCAGAAGCTACTGATCAAGGATCCAAACAACCCCAATCCTGGGAGGAAGGTAGAGGCACCAGCCGCCGCCGCCAGGCCCGGTGCAGGATTCTCGAGGAGCACCACCGCAATCGGTAGCAAACCAAGCCTGCGGGAAACCGTGATAGCCCAGAAGAAAGCCGCACTGGCTACGAAGAACCTTCCAAGCCGGCCTGGATCAGCCATGTCTACGTTTACTACACCTTCGGCTCACAGTTCCAGCACGCAACTCCACACAACTGCCTCGAAACCACTGGCCCGGCATAGGACTGAGACTAACACGATATCAGTCAACGCTAGCGGCATGTCGGTAGCTCCGATGAGGCCAGTCAAGAGACGGCCAGATGTTGCTCGTCCTGCAACAGCAGGCCCTTACTCTGTTCGAGATCAACCTTCGTCCAGGGAAACTCATAGCCCAGAAAATGATCAGCCCAAATATACGTCATCATCATCGTCGAGGCCTGGGGGAGCTACTACACCAAAAAGGCCATCCTCAAGGGCTCATATATCTCATGCAAGCGAGTCGGGCATGATATCGCCAACCAATATCCGACCGACTGGCATACCATCACCGCGAGGTAGCCCGGCCAGGCTCAGGCACTCTCAGACCATGATGAGCCCAACAAGAGCGACCGACGATCTCACACTGGTGGTGCCAACGCTTTCTAGTATACAGTCGGCTTCACCTAGATTAGAATCGTTAGGTGCCTCACCAACTCCTATTCTCCCCGCCGAAACCTCGACATCACCTCGGAACGAGCCATCTTCTCGGACGCTAAAGGTATACGAGGATCCCTTCACCGAGGATCAGCCAACACCAACGGCATCCCTTCATACTGGACCTGTATTGGAAGAGAGGGCAATCAATGAGGATGCGGCAAACATTCAGAGACCCTCGCAGCCGCCTATTTCAGACGATTCCGAATCTCAAGATAAGAATGGACAAAACGCTCGCCTCCTGGATAGCGGCATAACGAAGATCAAGGCCAAGACTCTGGAGGTGCACGGCTTCCGAAAACTACAGTCTCTGATCCGTGACAGCAGGACCGTCTTCACTGACCAGCGGTTCGAAGCTCTGCTGATCGGCCTGTTCCAGTATCTGGAAGATCCCCTACCCGATCTCTCCGCAGACAAGGCCCAGGACGTCAAGGCCCAGATCTTGACAACCATCAAGGTGCTCCTGAAGAAGGAGCGGAGAAACTTCCAGCCCCACGTATCAAGGGGCCTTGAGTCTCTTCTCCAGACGCGTGGCGGCTACGATACCCGAGCACACGTAGTGAGCGGCCTGGAGCTTCTGGCCGATGAACTCGTCACCCTCGGCAATGGCTCCGAGACAGCTGTCGTGCTGACCAAACGTCTGCAGTCGTGCAGCGATACCACCACCGAAGGCTGCCGTACCCTTAGTATGGGCCTTCACGTTCTCAAGGAGATGCTTGACAAGAGGCCCGAGTATGTGCCCACCCACAAGGAGCTCCTGCAGCTCACTAGCATGGCGGGCCGGTGCCTCGAATCGGCTGATTCAGGCGTTCGCATGGACGCTGTCAAGTTCTGCGTTGCTCTGCACGCTCGTGTCGGCGAAGCGGCGTTCTGGGAGGCCATGGCTGACATCAAGGACGATCCCAAGAGCTTGATCACGTATTACATTGTCAAGAAGCAGCGTGAGGATAGCATTGCCGCATAAGCTTTTACACTTTTTATTTCTCCCTTGATCTTTTTTTTTTACTTTTATTTTTCCGGCCGTTTCTAGTTCACGAGTTTGCAATCACGAAGTCTAGAGATGAGGCGTGGCGTCTGGAGAATTTGACAGCGAGGAGTAAAGAAAAAGTGTCATCTTTTTTTGGGAGAGGCGTCAGGCGGATTGTTCATGAAGCAAAATTAGAGCAAGCCTCTTTCTCTGTCTCTCTCTCTCTCTCTGTCTTCGAAACGTGACTTTTGCATACATGGAAACGCGGCGGATGTCTTTTGTGTGTGTGGTGGAATAGATGGAAAATAGGAGGAGGGATAAAAAGTGAAGGGTTGATTTTCTTCTTCTTATTTTTTTTATTCTCTTCTTCTTTTTCGTTTTTTTCTCACTTGGTCTTGTTATATTCCCATTGTAAACCAAAACACCCCCTTTTTTCTGCTTCTTTGAGACAAAATTTGCTCCCACCCCCTTTTTTGGCCTTTTCATTTTTTTTTCATTTCGACTTGTTCACTTCTTTTTTTTTTCCTGTGAAAAAAGGCCCCCTTTTGTTTGGACGGCCCTGGTGGTTCTCGCATCAAGTTCCAAAGTATATGTAGTTATTGTTACACCATTTTGTTAAGTTAGGCAGGCAGGCACCGCGATTATTAGTTAGGCTTTTTTGTAATTTTGGAAATTTATATTCTCATAACTTAGTTTGACTCTGTGACACGATGGGGTGATGTTCACATACATCAACCAGGTAACATGATGTCAAAACTTCAATCATGACCAGCATCAAGAACATGATGCCGTATCTCATATCACGACTATCAAGAATCAAGGGGCAAATCAAGTAACAAAGAAGTTCATTAAACTTTCATATTTTCTTTTCTCTCACTCTCTCATCATGCTAATCAAATCAGTTAAGCATCACTCAACCATTTCAATCAATTCATGCCCGCCTGCCTTGCTCAGTCCAAATATAAATCGTAGCTATATAATGATAAAGGGGGGGTATGAAAGAACAACAGCAACGAAAAAGCCATCCATTCCTAGACAGCAACACAAAGCCATCCATTCATAGATAGCTCTCCTCTCTGTTCTCTTTCGCGTCAAACTCCTCTTCAACGACAAAATGCGGCCAAAACAAAGATTCGAAAAAATAAAACGTCATGAGCTGAAGCATTTAGAAAGAGAAAATAAAAACCAAGCATCAGCTTCTGTCATCAAGCCATACGAAGCCAGCTCGAGTGAAAAACAGTTGAGATACATCAGACTTCATGCCGCCCAGGAAAAACAAGTTCAACATGGGGCGGGTTAAACACAACATAGCACTGCCATCGAGCAGTGCCTGGGGAAAGGTGAAAATTGGTTAATGGGGAGAATGGTAACCTCCCTGTCAACTGCAATCTCGGTCTTGATCAAAGCCAGTAGAAAAAAAGCCGACATTACTTTTATGGCCAAGCACAAAACGCCGTAAACATCGTCTCGCTAAAAACCGACAAACCCAAAAGCAAGGGGATCGAATCATGACGAGAAAAAACCGCCCGGAAGCTGTAAGCTCACAACAATGAGCAAACAGAGCCTCCATCATAACCAAACAACATGAAAAAGGCCATTGTCAAGTGCATGTATGGGATTCTTATTCATCCTGGAAGATTCTGTGAGTGTTTTCAATGACAAACTGAACGGCAAGGTTCTTGTTGTGCATGTCCGTCATTTCACGCTCAATGCTGAGATCCCGCATAATGGTTGGAGCAAACACGACGGCCAAGTTCTTAGGCGACATCTGATAGGTAGGTTAGAATGAGTAGATTATGACATGTACAGAGGAAATAAGACTAACCAAGTTCTCAGGCTCTCTAATTGCCACGCGATGAAGGTGGAACATGAGGAATTCTAGACAGTCCCGGTGGGCCTGAGGCATTGAAGTAAAGACCTTGTGCAGATGAGAGCACCGTTCAGCCTCATCGGTAATAGCTATTGTATAAGAGTTAGAATATGCGATTGCAAAGGTGTGTACGGTTACAAAGGAACAAGATGAATAAAACTCACCATTAGACTCCAGTACTTTCTCATAGACATCAAATGTCAGCAGGGGGTTGGGCAGCTTTCGGAAGTACTGCTTCAGGACACTCGTGACGGCAGTAATGTCCATGTCAGGGTCTGAAATGTCATAGTCTTCGTCCTTGTCGAAGCCGTCCTTGATTTGGTTGATTTGAGAGTTACCGCCAGTCTTTCGGTAGATACCCTCCTGGTCCATGCCTCTCAGCTCAACCTCTTCGATGCATCGCGTCACCACACTTGGGATCTGGCGGTGCTCGTAATCGCATCTCTCTGTAAGTTCGGATCCGAACAGAGTCGATGCAGGCTCTGGAGCTGCTTGCGCCACCACAATGTTGGCCTGGGTAGCTGGTCCGCCCTTGGCAGCTGCGTTCTTTTTGCCAAAGAAGCCAAACTGTTGTTGGTGCTGTCGTCCAGCTGGAGGGTTGGCCGACGTCGGATTGGCGGACTCTCCTTGGGCCACAGTCATGTTGTACGGCAGGCCAATGCTGTCACCAGCCAAGCCTTGCTGCTGCATTCTCTCGCGATCGTTCTGGAAAGCAACGACAGCACGGCCGACACCCTTTGTGATGTTCTGTGCCATGGTCTTGGAGCCCTTCTTCCAGTTGAATTTCTTGACTTGGCCTTTTCTGACATGAACCACAGTAGGCCCGTGCTCAACAATGGTTGGGTCCTCGTCCGCGATAAGGGTAGTGCCAGTAGTAACGCTTGCACTGTCAAGGTTGATGGATGAAGCGCCCTTGTGCTGGCCGTAGATGCCCAAGCCGTTTGACTTGCCATCTCCAATCTGGGACTTGAAGCGTTCCTGGATCTGGTGCGTGAGATCGTTGTTCATGTCCGTAAGCTGAGCGTTCTTGGAGGCCAGCTGCTCAAACTCCATGAGGGCACGGTCCCGGTCCGTCACAGCCTGGTTCTTTTCTTCAAGAAGCTGATCACGCTCCTCGTGGAGACGTTCGAGTTCCTCGGTAAAGGACTGCTTGACCTTTTCGAGCTTTTCAACGAACTCCTTGATGGCGGATTCCTCCAACTCTTGGACATTGAGAGGAGCCTGTGTCTCCTTTGCCCGCTCAACATATCCAGCCAGGACCTCAAGCTGTCGAATCATAATCTCAGTCTGGGTGTCCAGTACGGAAACGGTCTTTCTCTTTTCAATGAGCTTCTGGTTAATGTTCAGCAGATCCTTCTCGGCGCCAAACTGCCTCTCCAACTCGGCCACTCGCAGCTCAGAGGATCTAAGCTGTTGCTTGAGCACGATGGCGTTATCCGGAGATGTGAGCGAAGCAGGGCTGCCACCTTCCTGACCGTTTGCATCGTCCGTCTTGGGCCAGCGAGGCGAAATAGCACCACGCGTCGTCTCGCTAATGCTTCGGGTGTGGGAGCCTCGAGAGGCGGCATGGTTTTGGCTGGATTCAACGCTGCTTGTACGGCCGTGGCGGACAGCGTTGGAGACACGTCTAAGGATAGATGACGAGCCCTCATCAGAGCCAAGGATCCTAACCATGTCCTCTTCCATGGTGAAATCTGCGCCGCTGCTCCACCTAGGAAGCTTCGGCGAAGTAGGTGAGGCGTGAGAACCCTTAGCTGCAGGTGTACCCTCCTTGGGCGGAGTCTGGGCTTGGCTACTTGGGGGCACAGGAGCCGCTCTGGGCTGCATGTAGGTGTCAGTCAAGGGCTTGTCAGCTGCACCAGACCGAGAGGGAGGGCTCTGGCGTGGGGTCGAGACGTTGGCATCTTCAGAAGTGGAAGATTTGCCCTGCGCGGCACTTGGGCTGCCATTGACTGAATAGAGTTGTTAGTGAAACGAACGTGAATTTATTGCGTGGCGGATATGAAAGGGGGTGGAGGGGGAGGGTAATACCAGGACGGGTAGGTGCCGACGGAACCTCCTTTCGCGGAATGCTCTTGACACTGTCAGAGCGTGGTCCAATCTTTGGGGCGGAATCAGCTTCGTCTTGCGTTTTGGAATCGTAGGAGCTTCGCGATCCGGGAGTATTGTCCATGGCCTTTCGTGAATCAGGCTGCGAGGTGCTGTCCTTGCGTGGAGTACTGGTGCCAGTTCGACTGGGGGTTTCCTGTTGCTGAGGGACAGATTGCGAGCTGTCAGTCCGCGATTCTGTAGGTCTCCTCTTCCTCGGAGCCTCATCAGCGGATGCCTTGGCCGGGTCCGACTTGGAAGTGGAACGAGACGAAGACTTGGTCTGCGAAGGGTCGGGAGCTGCGGCGGCGCCCAGGAAGGCAATGTGAGTAGCGGAAGAGTGCGAGTCGGCGCGCTTGTCAGTCATGGTCGGTCGGATGTGGTCCTTGTCCTTCTTCTTCTCACCAGTGCTCTCCTTCTGGGCACCATTGGGCGTTGGGCTCGTATCAAGAGCCACGGATATCAAAAAGCCGTCACCACCATCACCGTTGTTGGAAGTGATGGTCGAGTTGCGGTTTCTGCGGTATGTAGTTGAGGGAAGGTTGAGGCCGTCTTTGGTCGCATCAGCAGCTGCACGCTCCGGAGAGCGCGAGGCCTTGGAACCGCCCCTAGACGACGACTCGTTGTGTCGATGGCCAGTGCGAGGCCGAGGAGACAACTCCGTGGGCCCGTCGGGGTCGACGCGGTCGTCGGAGAAGGCATTGTTCGGAATCGCACCGGGTGGGAGGGCCGGAAGAGACTTTTCCGGCACCGTGGGTGCCTGTTCTTTCTCTCGAGCTTTTGCTGCTGCGGCCGCTTTTGATTTCTTCCTTCTCCTAGCCATCAAAGTCTCATAGCAGTCCATGCAGAAAATGCCCTGAGACGTCCTCGCATAACGCAGGTTTTCGATCTTGCGCTTGCAGTTTCGGCAGCGGAAACATGTCGAGCAGAAGGCCTGGTCGCCTGTCAGGATGGCCAGGTCCTCGATTTTGTTGCCACACGCAGTGCAGCTGTATGTGCAGTTGTTGCAGATGAGGGAGCCATCGCCGAGCAGGAGAAGGTTGGCATCGGAGTCGAGCAGAGAACCGCACGAGGTGCAGCGGAAGCAGTCGAGATGCCATCGGTTGCCAGCTGGTAAAACATTATGTTAGTACGTAGGCACCCTCACACATGCTGAAGAAGAAAGGATCCAATCAACATAGGGTCATGTCACAAGTTGTGTGGCGGTCAAGAAACAACGGGGTCCTGTCGAGGCTGCACCGCGGTCTCCAGCAACTTTGAAACAAAATTTCCCTCTTCCCAGGACAGAGCAAGGAGACTTACCCAACTCAAAAGCTTTGCCTTCTTCCAGTATCTAAAGGGCGAGCGCCGTTAGTCGAAGCCACAAGCCAGGAGCATGTCCCGCAGCGCGGGTGGCATTACAAACCTCACCACAGCCCTTACAGGGGAACGCATCGTCGGCCTCCATCGGCGTCTCCAAATACTCGTCCACGATAGCGGAAGCCATGGTGGGCTAGAGAGTGAACAGAGAGGGGCGAAAGGGGGGAATGGCGCAGCCCAGAATATGTCAGGGCGGCGTTATATATGTATATATATATACAGGTCGAGTTTGTATATGTGCGCGAGCTCGCAGGCGGTGCGGTGTCCGACGTCTCGTCAGCAAAACGTCGAGGGCCGGAGTGTTAGAGGCGGGCAGGTTTGACGGCTACGGGCTGAGTAGGACAGGCATCGATGGCGATACACAGGAAGCAATCTGGTCCAGTCCAGTCCGTTGTCTCGTCGTCTCGTCGTGGCCAGAGCAGAGCAGAGGGGAGGCGTCTTTGGCGCAAGCTCTCGCAGCAAATCGCGGACGGGCTGGGGCCGGTGCTACACAGAGCAATGCAGTCGTTGCTGCAAGACAAGGGGTCGAGGCACCAGCGGGACAGCGAGCGTCTAAGGCGTTTGCGTCTAGCTGTAGCAGAGCTGAGCTGAGCAAAAGAAGGGATCGAGAAGAAGAGCGGCGGAGGAGAGGCGGCGAGATAGAGAGAAGATGCTCCAGTCCAGGATGGCCACGGGGAGGGGATGTGCTGGCCGCCTGTACTCGTAGAAGCAGGTACCAGGGACTGCCACGCCAAAAGGACCCCCCAAAAATAATGGAGGACCCCCCATAGAGCAATCCCCAGTGAGGGTTAGAGGATTAGAGGACCCCCCTCCCCCCCATAGTCCCCTAAAACAGGTACGGAACAGGTACATTGTCCAGCAACTGACAGGGTGTTACAAGTTTGCGCCATTGCTTGTTAAGATGGGAAGTACATGTACCTAAAATTAGACGGTGCAGATTCATGACCAAAAGGCTCTTTAGCACATGATTAGCGTCAAGCCACGCAAATCAGCATGCGCGTGATGGTGAAGGGAAGTGTGATGAAGATTTGCGATGATGCGTGGTGATTGGCCGGGCAGTGAGATTGATTGTGTTTGCTGCTCGGGATTGAGTATCGCTGTAGACGTAGTTATTACATGTGCGTGCTTCTATTGACGACGGCAACCACATGCCGGTGTTTGGAATGTATTTGATGGGATTGCCTTGTACCTGCTTGAGCTGAGAACCATCCATTGGTCCCAGAAAGTACAGGTACATGGCCCGATATCCAGCATCTGCATGCGAATGGTTCCCCCTGTGCCCACCAAAATTCGACCGCCCAACATCCTCAGCCACCTCATAGGCTGGTAGCTGTACTTGGCATCAGCTAGAAAAACGTGTTTGGGTCAGGGCAATGCTGGACAGAAGCAATAAGGAGTTGGTCGCACTACAAATGTGTCTTTTGGGTGCATCGAAGTCTTCAATTTGCAATCACTGTGGGATGGACCAGATGTTGCCTTGGTACTGGTACCTGTACTTAACAGGAGACGGGGCGCAGCTTGTCCAACTACCTCAGAGGTCAAGGCAAGGTCAGGGGCTGCTCTTCAGGAACATGAGCATCAATCCATTGATTGCCCGTATACATGTACGTACTCGTGCCTGAACATCCACAAGGGAGGCGGGCTGCTCCCTATTTTTCCTTCTCCGTCGATTTATTACCTCGCCTCAATCATGTATCGTGGAGGGCCGGGATCCGGCTGAAACATGAAACTTAAACTGTGCAGCTCCCTGGGGCAGCACGTTGCAAACAAGGCCATCAATCCATCTCACATGGCCTAGAGGACACGCTTCTGGGCAATTACTAAAGCACTACTCCGTACAGTTAGAGGCAATTCGCCGTTCCACGTACATGGATCTCGCCTTTAGGTACGAGTACTGTAGGCACCAAGACACGGTACTTCTGGACTTCAGATGGACGAGGTACCAACAAAGGTACACAGACCTAAAATGAAGGGAGCTTGTTAGTCTCTCTTAGAGCAATTCAACGCTGCTTGAAGTTGTAGCCGCTTAACCGCCTCCAAACGCTGTTTCGCGGTCGCCAAGCCACTGTTGGTCTTGACTCCTAAACTCCAGCGGGTGTAGCGGCCTGCCTTGGCGCTGTCTGAGGGATCGACCGCCTCGCACGATTTGCTCAGTTGAGTCGATGCCGCTCGAACAATGCTGAAACGAATTCGGCCTTGAGAGTTTTGCCGATGGATTTGATGTTGTGTATGGAGTACGAGTACATGTACATGCGAATACTTGGACGTGCAATCATTCTGCCAAATTGACGTGCTACAGGAAAAACTGTGGCTCTCCTTTATGCAGCTGAACCAGCCTGTTTGTACGAGCATCCATCAAATAATTTGATTGTATCAATTATAATCTACGTAGCACGTATTTCCACATCTGCAGCGGAACATCCGTCGACAAACGGGTCCAGAGGTAACATGCAAGCTTTTGAAGGATGGTAGCACGAAGACTTTTCCAACAACAGTCGCACACTGCCTAACCAGGACTGACTTGATACATGTACTCGTAGCTTCTTCCTCCTCCAAATCGTCCAGGGGGGCTCAAAACTTGCCTCTTTTGTCTCTACACGCATGTGTCCAGTCTTTATCTCTACGTACCTACTCGTACATACGATCCATACTCCGTGTATGAGACTAACACGACAGGGGGGATCCCACCGCCAAAACAAGCCGTGGGGATGGGCTCGAATGATTCCACACATCACACGCTCTTGACTCGGGAGTGATAATTGTGCCATGCGAACCCATTTCGTCGTTGCAATCCAGCCCTGGCCCGTTTCATCTCTGCCGGCGACTTTTCTTTCTTGTTCTTTTTTTCCCCTGCCCAGTAACTTGTCTTGACAACGCCACATTCCAGCCTTCAAACCAAATAACCACAGCTTCCTTAGTCATCATCCCGCGTGTGTTTCACGGCATGACTTTGAACCCCTTCTCTCCACTAGGGCCGTGTTTCACCTTGATTGGGCATTTCCAGCTCCTAGGACGAAACAGGACGGGACGGCTCTTTTTTTGCCTCTTTTCCTAGCAAACGGCCTTTAATAATCCAAGGTGAGGTGATGAGAATTTGGGGCGGGCGTTGGTTGCTTCGCCCGAAATGCATTTGACGTCTCATGGCATTGAAATGAGCACCCGGCTGTTCCGCGTCGAATGACATCTTCATTTAACATTGATAGCACTAGAGTTCTCCTTGATGCACTAAATCCTACCGTTATACTTCGTACTTCATCTCTCCGTGGAGATGGTGGCTTTCCTTCAACTTACTTGCTTCGAATGCTGTACCAACCAACCAACATAATGGGCCGAGTAAATTCACCGAGTAATAGCCCTCTTAGTATGCAGCTTCAGTCCCTCCATTTACTCGTCACACTCGCTTTTACATCCCAAAGACGGCAGTCTTGTCCGCCTGACAAGACGATGAGCCCAACAAGGCGCCTCATGTAAATGGAAAATCCCCATCAATTGGCCGAGCCAGCTTCCCGATCTGTACCTTGTCGGAGCCCACGTCTACCATCACAACCTTGTCCAGTCTTTCTGCTGTAACATTATCAGTCAAACGCTGCCTCAGGCTTCATCGTAGCCTTTTCAAACTTTTCTACACTGCCCTCAGCGCCCAGCTGAATAAAGCAAAATGTGTAAACTCTATCAGGGATTCCAAGTATCACAGCCCGCCCATTGTCTCAGCCCACCCAGGCAGAGAAGACACAGACAACGTGAGCCAAAGCTTTCCAGCAGACGTGTGAGACTCACCCATGACATGTACCCGACCCTTGTCGAGCTGTCGATCTGCCGTCAGAGCCCTGCTGTGCTTCTTATGTCGACTGCAAATCCTACCAGGTAGTGTTAGTATGGAGTAGTTTTTGTGATTAATAGGCTGTGCCTCTACAGGCAGGCAACTGTGTGTCTCGCTCTACCCGGTGTTTCAATTGAATTGATCAATATTGGTGTTTGTTATACCGTGTTTTCCTCTCGTCTCTCTCTTTCCTTGTGTCTCTTCACTTAAGCTGATGAGTTTGATCTGCGATGTTCACAATTTGGGTCTTTGTGAATGTAACATGCAATGCCGTGGCTGCTTTACTCGTTCGACTTGGTATCAAAAGTCTTCATTCCTTTGCTCCATTATTACCGTAGGGTGCAATCGCAAAATCTGATATGCCAAAGGTATCGTAACAAAACATGAACAATGCAAAACTCCAGCCTGCCGCCTCATTTCTGAGCAACAAGCCTTTTGACCTTTTCCAACAACAATGAACTCTCCCTGCCCAGCTTTTTCTTGCCGTCCTTGTCCCTCGTCTTGGCCATGGCCTTTTTGAATCTCTCCCGCTCAGCCTGTTTCTGTGCTCGCTCTTCCATTCGTCGCTCATACTCTTTTCTCTTGGCATCGGCCTCTTGGCGCCGGTCTGCAGCCTTCTTCAGCTGCTTCTCGTAGTAGCCTGGGCGTCGAGTCCTCCGCCTCTGGCCGTCACTAGGGCCAGACGCCTCAGCTCCAACCTGTGCCATGTCTTCATCCTTAATCATGAGCTGCCTTGTAGGATGCATCTTCTCTCCTTCCTCTTCGTTGTCCTCCTGGGCGTCGCCTTGTGCTGAGTTCACCTCATCTTTGCCATCATCCTCATCATCACGGTGACTGGGCCGGGCTTTGGCTTCCTCTGCAGCCTTAATCTTGGCGTATTCCTTCTTGACCTTGGCTCTGTGAATTAAATCACGCTTCTTCTGATCGACTACATACAAGACAATTGTGTGAGTTTCATTGTTTGAGCTCAGGCCATGGTCATGTGAAGTGAGATGAAAAAATCTCAAGGGAAAAAATTTCAACGTTACCTTTACGGCGCCATGGCCCGTCTGGCAGATTCTCGGGTCCGACTCTGAAGCCGTGCTTCTTCTTTGGGGCTTCTGAAGTGGTGCCTGCGCCCTCAGATTTTCCTTTAGGGGCCATTAGGCTCGTCAAGACGAATCAATATCGTCTTCCTTGTTTTTTTCTTATGCCCTGTACTGCTTTTGGAGCAAATGTGAGTATGCCGGTGAGGCGCGAGGTGAGAGCAGGCCGCTAGCCCTTTTGGTGCTGAACAGTGGGGTGAGCGTGAGTGTAGCGCCATAATCGGGGGCCCCTCACAGGTGAGCACTGAAGGACACGCCGGAACAGCGCACCATCTCGCTATTCCAGCGGCACTGCCGGCAGGTGGGGTGCTGAAGCCCGCTGTGCAGTAGGCGAGTACAAGCTGAGAGCTGCGTGCGCCTGTGCTGGGCCAAGTACCTGATCAACAGATGGAAGCGGAGCCAGATGCAAGTCATGCGACGACATTCATGATGAGACAAAAGGGCGTGTTAAGAATATCTGTGCTTTCAATTTCAAGTATTCGTGATTTCAGCTGGAACAAGGCCTATGATGCAGTTACATTCTCACGACTTAATTTCCATAGAGAGGTCTTATAAAGTCATCCTGCTATCAACGGGCTCAATATCATCATTGATCTCAAATCTATGCGAATGCACCTTATCTTAGGCGCATGCACCTATGACCTGTAAATGATCCCCAAACTCCACTAACGTGCGCTATCCGGCGTCCCGCTATCGGCATTTCACGGGGTCCTTTGGGCTCCGACGTAATGTTTGCGTGATTCACCGCCCAACGACACCCCGGCAGTATGTAGACTACTTGAGTAAACACAAGAAACTTTGTTCCCTTGTCCATCCAAGCTGAAGCATTTCTACTCGCCCCCAACCGAAAGCAACGCTGCCCTCGTCTACCTGCAGCGACCCTTGCTACAGACGTGCAGCAACCGAAGCAAGACACCCCCGTAGCTCAGCTTTTCCGGCATCTTCCCTACCTAGCACGAGGACATCAGCACAGCGTCCCACTTGGATGAACAGCCCGGCCAGTAGATCGATTCCGATGGTGACGTTTCCGGCTGCGACTGCGTCCATCATCCCGGCGGCAGAAATTTTCGATACTCATGCTTTCTTCTTCTCATGATACGGTAATTTCCAGCTGCTTTGGAGCTGCTGCGGAACCACCGCCATAAAATCAGCCGCAAATGCCCATCTTCCAAGACGACATTCATCATGAATCGCCGGCCTCTAGCCCTATCGCTATTGAGCCGGCACCCGCGAGGAGCCGTCGCTTGTCTGAGGAGAGTCTACGAACCGAACTTTGCGAAGGCCCGGTCCCCGATAGCCCTATGCATTCATCGACAACAAAGGGCGACGAGGAGAACAGGATATCGGATAGAGCCGAGCTGATAGAGAGGTTGAAACGGGGAGAGAGCCCAACTTGGGTCCCCAACCGACATGTAAGCCCAAGCATAGCGCATATCTCTAGAGGCTTTTCGTACTTGTTGCTAACCAAATCCTCTCCAGCTTGAGTCGATTCTTCAGCATGAAAACTCCCATAGCGCCCAGGAGCAAGGCAGAACCTCACCCGAGTCGCCTAATCTCCTACCGCCAGCGCCGATTACACCAGACAAAACCAAGCTGCCAGAGTCGGTCGATGCGAGACTACGAGATGGGCTGAGCATCGAACGACCGAGATCAGCCTTTCATAGCGGCGATTTCACGAGCGACGTAACAGCATCTGAGAATGGGCAGCACAACGACCCAGGCAGGCCTGGTGCCCAAGGACGAATGACGGCTGAGCATGCTTGGTTCGCAACCTCACCACCTAGACACTTTACGCCATTTCCCTACGGAGTAAGGGCCCATGGTAGGAGAACACATCCGCTGGATACAGATGTCACCGATGGCTTCAAGTCCGATACCTCTCCTCTATCAACATCATTGTCCAGCTTCGCGTATCAACCTCCGACTAGTCCCCTTGCCCAGTCTGAGACGAATGAAGATGTCGACTTCTCTACGCCCCCTGAATTCCCCTCCATGAAATACAAGTCAACGTGGCGACACCAGCTCAACTCAAATCATTCTTCGCCATTTCACCCTCCCTCCTCAAGGTCACGGCCACAGTCACGATTTCCGCCACGACGAGAGGGTGCTCTGCCATATCAAGCCCACCAGCCTCGCCGTTCTTTGACTTCTACCCCTACTTTCCCTCACGGTCACCACCACTTCTCCTCTCCTCAGACGCCAGCCTTGCTGCGCTCTCGACGACAATCCTTTGGCCCAGACACCTCGCCCATCCAGCACGCCTCCATGGTTGGTTCATACGAAGAGAGCATTCTGCGTGGCCGCATGTCAACAACACCATCAAAGCCATTTGAGTTTGTTGCCCAGATTGGCGTAATGGGAAAGGGCAGCTGCAAATCTAGCCTCAGATGCCCGCGGCATGTAACTCTCCCCTTCCCCGCCGTCTACTATAGCTACGGTGGTGCTCCCCATGGGAGATCGCTCCTTGACGACGGCCCGAGCCCATACGTCGGCCAAATTGACTTGGAGAACGGACTTTCCAACCCCGAAGAGGAGTCGAGGTCGCGAAGAAAGGCACAAAGCCGGTACAGTGACAGAAAGCAGCAGGCCAGCAGCGAAACAGCCGGGATGAGTGTCCAAGAAACGGAGGCGGATCGAGAACGGCAAAAGGCTGCCAAGTCCAAGCGTCTACCGGCTTCTCCGAGGTCGCCCCCGGGAGGAAGCTATAGAATCCCTGAAACAGGGCAGATTCAAATCGTCATCAAGAACCCAAACAAGACAGCAGTCAAACTCTTTCTAGTGCCATATGACTTGACCGGCATGATGCCGGGAACCAAGACTTTTATTCGCCAGCGCAGTTATTCTGCTGGTCCCATAATTGATAATGTACCAAACATGTCCCAGGCGGACGGCGACCGCCCCATTCTCCGATATCTCGTTCACTTGCACATTTGCTCGCCCGCCAAGGGGCGCTTTTACCTGTACAAGAGCATCCGCATCGTTTTTGCGAACCGGGTGCCTGACGGCAAGGAAAAGCTGCGTAACGAAACAACGCTGCCCGAACCGCGCTTCTCTCCCTACAAGCCTATCCGTGTGATGAATCCTCCACTTTCGACTTCTAGTGGCACAGGAGCCATGTTGGCCAGCGAGAAGGCCTTGCGGCGGCGCAGCTTGGGCATCTTCATGAGCAGCAACGCGTCGACCTTTGATGGTATGGACGGCCTTGCATCTCCTGAGGAAATGCCAATGACGGCTCCGTCGCCCAGCTCTGGTCGCGGCAGCGTCACTCCCATGGAATTAATCCCTCTGCGTCTTCCGCAGCCAAACACTGCTAGTAACGAGAGCAATGGTGGTTCCGATGGAGCCGTCGTGGAACATGGTTCGCTCAACGGTTCGTCTTCACTAGCCAACAGCCGCCCGTCCACCATGAACTCGGGAGGCATTGACACCTGGGGCCCATCGCAATACGAGAAGCTCAACAGGGGCGACGCTGGCTACGGAGGAAACGCCTTTAGCCGCTCTGCTTCTAGCAGCTCTCCTGGAAATGCTCCTGAGGGACTGCTCTCTCAGCGCCTGCGTGGCCTAGGCGTAAAGCCTCAGCAGACGGACTGAACAATGAAACTTATCCGTCTTTCCGCTTCCGTGCAAGATTGAACAGTGTCTTCGCGGTCATTTGCTTCAGAGCATGTACATCATATTCACCTACGTTCCATTTTCTTTCTTTTGATCCTTGTTTGTCATGACATACCACACTTATCCCAGGCGATATTGGACGTTGGAACACTAGAAGACACAGGATTGAGTCCTCTTCAAAGCTCTTCTTGATTGGGCGGATTATTATTTTTCGGCATAGATTACTGCTTATTGGTTCTTTTCCCCTTTTCATATTTTCCCTGCAATTAGGTGAGTAGTTTTTATTCTGACGCTACGCTCTCCATTCTGTGACTTTTCAAAAGCACGTGTATACTCAACTACGCTTTTACTGTGCGCCTTAACCTACATGTATCAAGACATGTCGTTAGCTTTCCATTAATGCAGAAGATGAAAAGTATTCTTAAGCTTCAGTAGCTACCAAATATAATGAAATCGATTCAAACATTTTTGCAAAGCTAAAATTGCATGTGTAAAATAATTGAACGTTTGTTCTACTCACAATACAGACGGCTGCAGCTCTATATTCCAATAAGCGGTCTTGGTGGGATACGCCCCGTTTACTGAATATCAGTGTCATGTGAAGTCAACCTCTCCCAATGGTATAAGACGGAACATCACACTTGAGCTTTTGATTCATGACGGACAATGCCACGCTATGGCATACTTTTTAATGTCACAGGCATTATCCGCAACCATGTTACTACCAAAGTACCCCGTATGATGCCCGCTGTCCGCGGGTTTGCAAGCGCAACAACGTCTACGAAATCCAAGCCGAAGCACCATAACTCCTCCTCCTCATCTTCCTCCCCGCTGTCGTCCCAGCACTCTGACCTCGAGTCATTCCTCGAAGATGCAAAGCGACGTGGCCTGGACGAGAAATCGCCCGTCTTCACAGGGACACGGTACGAGTATCTCGTTTTGGAGCGTCTAAGGCGATACGGCTTCTCGCTGCGCAGAATAGGCGGCGCATCAGACTTTGGCGTCGACCTAGTAGGCGAATGGACAGTACCATCATCAACAGCCCCAGCAATCAAGGTCCTGGTGCAGTGTAAAGGCGGGATCCAGCGAGTAGGCCCGCACATGATCCGCGAGCTAGAAGGATCGTTCGCCGGGGCGCCGGCCGGGTGGAGGGGACAAGGCGTGCTGGGGCTGCTGGTGGCGGAAAAGACTGCGACGAAGGGCATGAGGGATGCTCTGGGTAGGGCGGGGATGCCGATGGGGTATTTTTGTTGCGAGGGGGAAGATGGGGTTGTGAGGCAGATGCTTTGGAATCAGAGGGCGGAGGAGGGCGGGTTGGAAGGGGTTGATGTTGCGTTGAGGAGGGGAGGGGGGAGGGATGTTGGTGAGGTTGTTCTTGTTAAGAATGGAGAGCCATTGCCGTTTGTTTGAAGAGGGCTTTCATGGTCACTCCCTTGCTGTTGAAGTTGGAGGACTTCATAAGCAGCATGGATCTTGACTCACATACGATGAAGCCAGTCAGGTCAAGGCTACGCTCCCGCTGGCATGTCGAATCCTCCCCTTTGCTTAGAATAGGGGCAAGTGAAAACCCCATAGATTGAAGCAAAATCCTGCGCTTGATTATATACATCAACATGTTACACCAGCATCTCAAGAAACTACCCAAAAACAAAAGTCCATCCATAGCACTCCGTACACATTAAAAAAGATCAATCATCCCACACAGCCGCCTTCGCCTTCTCCGCCAACTCCTTCTGCCTCTCCTCCTCCGCCCTCTCCGCATCCCTTCTCTTCTTCTCCTGCTCCCTCACCGACCGCTGGTACGCCCGCTGCTCCTCCGTCTGCCGCGGCGCCTTGAGCCCCAAACCCGCCGCAATCATGCGCCTCGCCACGGCGTCCGTCTTCTCCGGCCTCTTCGCCGGCGTCCCGGCCCCGCTCCCGGACGCCGACGTCGCCATTGGGCTTTGGCTCTGGCTGTGACTTTGACTCTGGCTGTGACTCTGGCTGCCGAGAGACGCCCATTCATGAGGCGACTCGTAGCCTAAAGGTGAGGCGGGTGTTGGCGGCGGGACGGCGGGCGTGGCGAGTGACGATGGGGTTGATGTGCCTGCTTCTGCTTCCGCGTCGTCTTTGTCTGTGGCCTGGTCGTCTTCTTCATCTTCCTCGTCGGACACGTCTTCGTCCTCCCATGAGTCTGCTACGGGCTTCTTGGCCTTGGCTTTGCCTTTTGGTGCCGCTTTTGCGGAGTCAATTGCGAGCTTTGAGATTGCGGACTCCATTTCGTCCTTGTCTTTCAGTACTGAGGCCATGATGAGTTCTGAGATGAGAGGTGGTGAGATGAGAATGAGTTTGTTATATCGGATGCGAGGTTTCCCTTAATCTCTTATGACGCAAATGTAACCGGGTCGGCGTATAAGCGCAACTTTGTGGTGTGAGATGTGCCCCGCGCGATCAGATTTGTTCTGCGCTGGCAACCCTCGCTCGAATTGGATAGTCACTAGAATTTCGGGTCAAGATAGGAGATATTCAGAGGGATTGAATAAATCGTATCTGTTGACTTTGTTTTGTTTTTGCTTTGGTAGTTATGGATGAGTTGCTTGAATGGTATGACTTCACAATAGAGTTGTGCTAGAGTAGATGTACCCAACCTAAATGCCCACTTGCGGTCACGTGCTTCATCTTTCTTTGCATCAAGCTTCCAATATTTCACTGTGAATGCCATCGCTGTCATTTTTCTATTGTCACTATTCTCTCTACTATTATTGCTCTCCACTAATATGCAGTATGTCGAATTATGTACAGAATACATCTCCTATTGTAAACTTGAGATGCTGGGCGGCCAAGTTTGGAGCTGGCTGGCCATTCCGTTTTAATTACCCTGTAATTCGACTTCACTGATATAAATCCTCTTGATTCTACATAACTTATGTCTAAATTGATGGTTCAAAATGGTCATAGAGTCTTTCTTTACTATATAGTAGATTAGTGTTTACTTGGGATACTGCCTAGCAAGGAATCATGCTCTCCCAAGTTCGATATCGCCGGCCTTTGACAAAGCTCATAGATATACGCCGCACTCCTCCATGCATAAGGTAGCAACAAATATGTATATAGGTTATCATCTATCAGCTTCTAAAAGCTCGTCACAATGGCTAAAATTATCTCAAAAGCCCACCATTTTCACATTTAGAGAAAAATAACTATTATCTGCATCCACCACCCATACACATCCAACTCCCCCCCTCCCTCCAGCATCCATCCCCCTATTTTCAACTCCGCAACTCACACTATCCTCCTAGGCATGTGCCATCGCCCTCCCTGTTTTTCTTCTTCTTTTTCCCAAATTTTTATAACAACTGCCAAAAGGGTATTATTTGTTTGTCAGTGACTCATACAGGTTCATGTCCATCTATTTCCCATTTTCAGTAACATCTCATCTCAGAAAAACTCCCACATGCCTCATAACATTTCGTAACGAAGGAAAAGAAATATAAACCAAAGGAAAAAAAACCTCTATATAGCTTTTGTTTTAGGGTTTCAACCAATATTTTTGGGGTTTTTTTTTTTAAATAACGTCGCCTTGTCCAGGAATATTCGTGACGTATAACTTGCTCGACATCTTAGGAACCGGCTGCGGCGGCGCTTTATCTCTCTGCCGCTCCCGAGATCTGCTTGTGAGGCGCAAAAAGTTTGGGTTCGGAGCGCCCTGTCTGTTGCTCCCCAGCGAGAACGAGGCGTCGTCCATGCTTCCCAGATCGATTCTTTCGTCGTCTGCGTCTGAAAAGCCGCCCATGACCAGTTCGTCATCAGATGCAAAGTCATGCGGGTAATGAGACGACGGTGCGGAAGGCGATGTAATGGATCGAGCGTGGAGACCGGGGCGGGTTGGGGGCGATAAGACGCGGCCAACTGTGAACGCCCCCGGAGTCATTGTATTGGCAGCATGCTCTCGAGAAAAGACCACCGCGGGTCGATCGACAAATCCGTTTTGAAACGAAGTGTTGTTAGTGGACGCTTCGTGCAGGATTGGCAATATCTGTTCGTCGTAGAGCTCTGTTCCCGTCTCGTACGACTCGGGAGTAAATTCGGTAATAGTAAGAGAGGAGCGTCCATCATCATCCGTGTGAGGACTTGCAGGCTCGTCAAAGAAGTCATCAAGGCTATCCAGCTTGGTAACTAGATCGCCTGGGTGAACGTCTACTCGGGCTTCATCAGACAACATTGTTTCCGACCGCTCCAAGGAGTCAAAGTATCCATAGGGGAAGTCTTCCGAATGGAATTCAACTTCTGCCGTGGGGGTGGGCTCGGTTGACGAGCCCTCGGCGCTTTGGCACATGTAAAAGGCGGCGTGGATATTGGCTCTTGTAGCCTCCGTCTTCCGAGCGGGAACAGGGATGGCCCATCCGGACAATTCTGGAATACCAAAGAGGCTCTGAGCGCGTTCGTACTCCTTCCGCACAGTTCTGGATGTCAAGCGAGCCATGCTCATTCTCAGATGCTGCTTATCCATGTGGCTTCCAGACATGGTCATGATGTTATCCAACACCTCGAGAGCCCCCATGCAAAACTCGGACTGCAAAAGGCGCAGCAGCGGGGATATGAGATCAGAGCCGTGGACTGCAATTTCTGGGTTGCGCATATCGATATCTGGAATAACCAGGCAGAGAATACGCATGGTTTGAACCTTGACCCAGGAGAGCGAGTTGGTAAGCAGCCCAATCAGAAACGTAATCATCTTAAACTCCATATGCGGCAGATAAAACTCGCGAAGTGCTCCACAGAGCTGGTTCATGAAATCTTCGGCGATTTGAAAGTGGTCGGAAATCAAGCCGTCCATAATAAGCGCAATGCCTTCGAGACCCTGCCTATCGGATTCAGCGAGGAGTATCCTAGCCGTGTTTGTTGCCTCCGGGCTGAGACCACCTCGTTCTAGTTCGTCCAGAAAACGTGGAAAGTTGGCCAGCAAAGCAAAGAATAGCCGGTTATCATCTCCAATGAGGCCATCTCCGGGAAGCATGACGAGCTTATCCATAATGTCGAGCGTTGGCTGCCAGCAGAGCGACGATCTTAAGCCTTTGTGAAGTAAGGGCTGAAGCCCTTCAAATTGGCCCTCCCACCGACTTGGTTGTCCATCTGCAATCAACTTCCTCACATGGGGGGCTCTGAAGTCGACTTTGCCAATTAGCTCGTCCAACATCTCTACCGCCTCGAGGAATTCACGCTCATTGATAGACTCCAAGCATGCGCATGTAGTCCAGAACAGCTGCGGGAAGGTGATGAGTTTCTCAGAGTCTAATTTGACGATGAGTGTCTTGAGAGTCGTCAGAATCTCCATAGAAAATGCTTGGATTTCAGGGTCCTCGTCCGCAATCGTATTTGAAAGGCGGGCAAGCATATCTCCAAGCATGAACTGATCCAGGGACGTGAGGACGCATCGGAAGATTTGGAATGAGCGACATGCCAAGTGTCTAACCGGGCACGAGGTAGCCCATGTCAACGACAACCTGCCCCATTGTTCTTTGATTCCCGGGAACGATACCTCAAAGGTTCTTACGACCTCATTTGTGAGATATTCCATGCTTGGGGGGACTTTGTTCTCATGATCATTGACTTTTCCATTGCTGTCTTCATAGCTCCACACAACGGAACGGTCATGCCGACGAACCAAGTCTATCAGTTCCTCTATGGATTCCTTGTGGTGAGGATCCGTCTGGTCGTCAATGCGCGACATGACCAGCTCATGAATGAGATGCACCAACATCTCGCGAGCCTGCTCCTGGACCAACGGAGTGTAGTGATCCCAAAGCACGGTAACAACATGCAGTAGAAGCGGGACGCTCTCCTGTGTAAGGTGGACTGGAGACACCATGAGATCCACGAGCAAAATTAGCGAAAGCTGACCGAGAGAAAACCCGGCCTGCTTTGTGCCCACAGGGAGAGCCTCCGCCAAATCTGCACAGTAAGGCAGGCTGCTGGTGTCAGGCGGCGCCTGTGATATCCCAGTCTTTTCGATAGGGACCATGGCTTTGGGGTTGATCTGCATCAGCAGAAACTCGACAACTTTGATGCCAGGCGCGCTGTTGGATGTGGAAAGGAAGACGACAATTTGTTTGGCGTACTCGACAAAGTTCTGTTCACGACGCTCTAGGCACAGCTGCATGATGAAATCCAGCACGAGACGCACATTCCCAAGATGCGGTCCAGTAGCAAGCGCTTGCCATAGGGCCTGGACTTCATTGTGCAGCGCGCCCCCTGACTTGATTGTAATTTCCAATAAGTTTGCCAAAAGGACGTAGGATTGCGCTGTAGGGCCGCCATTCGGATCCAGCGTCAGTTCAATTGCCTGGATCCAGGGCAAAACAACTGCAACGACATTTCGCTGCGCTGCCGGTTGAAGATCCTTAAAGTACAAGGTAAACTCGGAGATGACATGAAAGGCGAGTTCCGTATACTGGTTAGCGAGTCGCTTTGAGATCTCAAACTGGGCCAGCTTGTACACAGCTTGAGTCTTATCTGAGATGCTAATGTCAAAGTCTTGGATCTTGGAGTTTCTTTGTTGGCGAGTCTCCAATATCCTCAGCACAGTTGAAGACTTGGACCTGATCTCGCTTTGATCATTTCCCAGCATAAACAGGCACAACGCAAGAAGCTTCCAGAAGGGACAAGGGTAATCGCCATGCTCTTGTAGCACTTCGACAGTGACTATGAAGTAACTCTCAAGAACCTTAGGGACGTCAGCCAGGTAACAACGCGCGATGCAATGCTCCAGCAGATACGGATACTCTTTGTTGTGAACCACGAGATTCTTTAGAGCTCTCCTGCCGATGACGTTCATCTTGTCGCTGCCCGAATTGAAAATGGCCTCAATCCAGGCAAGCATTCGGCGAATATCAAATTGCAGCGTAGCGCCGCTCTCAGTCGTCAAGGTGATAGGCCCGCCACACAATGCAGACATGGCACTCAGGGCTGCAGTCCTCAGGTTACGTTTCTCGATTTCCATGGCCGCAGTGGCCGTGCCCCGTTCGCCCAAGGATTGCTGATCCATCAGGCTCTGTCGCATATTGTCCTCTCTAGCCCGGATCTCATTCTGGTTGGGAGAGAATCCGCACCAGTCTTCCATGAGAGAAAATGCCGATTTACGAGATTCAAACGTCATCCAGCGAGTTGGGTCGCTCGTCCGGTTGATTCCTTCAAACAGCGACTCCATGAGTCCACAATAATATCTTCTCAATTTTTGAAAATCCCAATCCATCTGTACCTCTCCATCCATTAGGAATAATTTGAGGTCCTTGGCATACGCGGTCAAGGTGTTGAGGAAGAATTCAGACTGATAAACAATGGGATCCTTGAGGAAATGCGAAGTCAGTTTGAAAACATGTGTGATTTCCGTTCTCAGAAGATCC